TGAAAGTGAGACATTTTACCATTTCAGGAAAAATATTAATTCGTTTAGAACTTGATGGCAGCAACGCATCTCAGAAAAGTTGGGTCGGGACAACAAAAGGCTGGAAAAGTAAGTGGTACTAATTAAAAACAGCTGGAGGAGCAATTTACAACTGACTCACATGACTGGATATAAAAAGAGCATTTTAGAGAGGCAGAGACTCGCAGAAGCAAACATGGGCAGAGGTTCACCAATCTGTGAAAAACTGTGTCTAAAAACTGTGGAACAATTTCAGAAAAATCTGGAGAAATCCCTGTATGCAAGGGACAAGGTCAGTATTGGATGCTCGTGATATTCAGGCCCTGAGGTGGCACTGCATTAAAAACAGGCATGATTGTCGTGGAAATCACTGCATGGATTCAGGAACACTTCCAGAAATCACTGTCTGTGAACACAGATCGCCATGCAAAGAAGAAGCTGCATGTCAACACGATCCAGAAACGCCACCGTCTTCTCTGGGCCAAAGCTCATTTAAAATGGACTGAGGCAAAATGGAAAACTGTTCTGTGGTCAGATGAATCAAAATTTGACCTTCTTTTTGGAAATCACGGACGCTGTGTCCTGCAGACTCAAGAGGAGAGGGACCATCCAGCTTGTTATCAGAGCACAGTTCAAAAGCCTGCATCTCTGATGGTCTGGAGTTGCATTAGTGCCTATGGCGTGGGCAGCTTACACATCTGGAAAGGCTCTATCAATGCTGAACAGTATATAGAGGTTTTAGAACAACATATTCTCCCATCCAGACAGCGTCTCTTTCAGGGAAGGCCTTGACTATTTCAGCAAGACAATGCTAAACCACACACTGCATCATCTTCGCAGAAGCTCATCTGCTGCTGCACAGTGTGTGTTGGTCATCCTCTAGTCCTTCATCAGTGGTCACAGGACGCTGCCCACAGGATGCTGTTGGCTGAATATTTTTGGTTGGTGGACTATTCTCAGTCCAGCAGTGACACTGAGGTGTTTAAAAACTCCATCAGCACTGCTGTGTCTGATCCACTCAGACCAGCACAACACACACTAACACACCACCACCACGTCAGTGTCACTGCAGTGCTGAGAATGACCCACCACCCAAATAGTACCTGCTCTGTGAGGGTCCACGGGGGTCCTGACCACTGAAGAACAGGGTAAAAGGGGGCTAACAAAGTATGCAGAGAAACAGATGGACTACAGTCTGTAACTGTAGAACTACAAAGTGCACCTATATAGTAAGTGGAGCTGATAAAATGGACAATGAGCGTAGAAACAAGGAGGTGGTCAGAATGTTATGCCTGACCGGTGTACATTCATCCTATTTTCTTTCTTGCATAAGATTATTATGTACACTTTTACAGCACTGTGATCTATTGTTTGTGCTCACTCATCTCAGTGTAAATCTACAGTGTCGGTCTACAGAGTAAACTGTGAAGCTGTGCTCGGTTTTATTAGAGAGTGTCTGCTGTTCCCGTACACACTGAATAAATCAGCCTGACTCTCCTACGGCAGCTATAAACACATCCAGCATTCCAGAGGGAACCTTATCTTTATTAGTGCAGATAGAACAAAACAGACACAGAGACTGAAACGCGGGTTACACTCAAACAGACGTGGAGAGAAACAAACTCGCAGTATTTTTTTCTTCTAATTAAACACAACAACAACTTTAAAACTAAAGTTTAAAAAGTATTAAAACATCTTTAAAACTGTCTGGATATATTTTTTCATATTTTATGCATGAAAGCATCACATATATGTACTTTAAATGAAATTGCATTAAGACAACTGAGCTATTTTAAAATTTTCTTTTTCTCCATGAAAAGTTTTTAAAGTTTAAAGAACCGCCACGTAATAGAAAGGTTCTATACTAATTATTGTTTTGTTTTCTAGAACCGCACATCCTAGAGAGGAACCATGTACTATTAAGAGGGAAATGACATGATTTAATGTGCTTTAAATCTTTTCTTTCTTCACTTTGAACAATAAATTATTATTACCAGCTGCATGCTTATGATACGTTTTAATATAATTAATATAATTAATATCATTAATATCGTTAATATGTGGTTCTACACTGAAAGGCCCTGATTTGGTGTTTAAGTGGAGGATTTTCTTTGATGGTTTAATGTGTTGTGCTGGTGTTTAGTGCTGGTGGATGTTTCAGTTTTAATGGTATGATTTTGCTGCTGTATTAAAAGGGGAACTCCACCGATTTTCAAAAATTCCTCCATAACTCAGTGTGTGAGATGTAGTCAGAGAGATTCAGAGTGGTTTGGTGTGAAATGGTTCAGATGTCTTTACAGTGGTGGTGATAGGAACCAGGGGTCGCCATGACTACAACACAAATATAGACATTTTATTTACTATCCAGAACCACCAGTGAGCCTACACGAGTCTTCTGAGTTTATATGGAATGATGATGATGGAAAATAGTGGAAACCTGCATATTATGTATCCCTCCACCATGAATGGGTTTTAAGGACAAAATCTTCTCAAAACTATCATAAAACAGTGTCTCAGTCATCAGGCAGTGAATTCATAACCATTTCATGTAGGAACTTTCTGTGAGGGAGCTTTTAGAGGTGGACGTCTGGTTCCTATCACCACCACTGTGAACAGTTCTGACTCTGTAAGTTTCTCTAGAACAGAGTGTTTCACACCAAACCACTCTGAACGACACTGTTTACATCTTAACCATTCAATTCTGCAGGAATTTTGAAAAAATGGGTGGAGTTCCCCTTTAAGTCATTTGCTAAATCTAAAGTATGATGGGTAAATATGTCGATGCCACCGATCCTGGCATTTCTTTTTGAGAATTGAGATGGATAGTAAGAGTTTTCTTTAAGCTGTGAACTGAATTTTGATCTTTTTACGGAGCTGAATGTGTTTTAGAAGCTGAAAAAGTGAAATTTCATATTCATATTCATATCAAAGACCAGCTTTGCTGTATTTATGGCATCTAAAACGTTAAAATGTTACTGTTACTGTTAGAACACTGTAAAATATTAAAGCCAGAAAGACTCACTGTCTTTGTAAGAAATGCTGTGTATCAAGATTTCTCATCAAAATTCTTAATAGAAAGACTATTTAGGAAACAAAAGTTTTTAAGGGCGTTTTCACACTTGGGCCGTTTCAGCGTCTGAAGTGGACTCAGTCTGAGTCATGGTTTCTTTTGCATATATGAACACGGCAAACGAACTCAGACCCCCCTAAACGGCCCCAAAAACGAACCGAACTGAGACCACCTCTCGAGTTCGGTTCGTTTGTAGTTTGTTTTGTGGTTCGATTAATTTGTGCATTGTGAAAACAAAACGGCCCCAGTCCGCTTTAGCTTTGCTTTATGGTGAAGACCTCGATGCTCGCCGTACACACAGCCACAGTCTTCACTTTAGCAGGTAAAACAGACCAGGTTTATAAGGTTCTGCTCAGGATAAAGTTCTAATGGAGCTGTGGTCTGAACAAGAAGTGGTCTGAGATCTCAATGGACCAGAAAGAAGACTGAGTCCTCTTTAGAGTTCACTTACATTGTGAACACAAAAAGAACTGAGATCACTTGCAGTTGGTTCCCTTCCAGGTTCACTTTAACAGAACTCGGTTCGGTTCTTTTAAAACGAACTATATGTGAAAACACTGTAAAAGTGTGGAACTCTCTTAGCATTATGGGTTCTCTACAGGACCAAAAAAGGATTCCATGACCTGTATCAATATCAGAAGCCTTTTTGGTGCTGTGCAGAAGCATTTTTAAGGGTTCCTTAAAGGACCACTTGCAACAGGTTTTTCATAATAGAAAAGAACCATTTAACTACATTTTTTAAAAAAGATGGTTCTTTCGTGAAGGAAATGGTTTTATATAGAACCATTAGCACTAAAATAACCCTTTGTATGATTAAAGGGTTCTTTGCATGGTGAAATGGTTCTTCTGATTGATGAAGAATGTGCTCTATATGGTTCTATACAAAACCTTTTTGAAAAGGGTCCTGCTATTGTTCCAAGCTTGACATGGTACAGTAGAAGATCCCTTTTTGGTGCTATATAGAACCCTTTTCAACACATTCTCCATCAATCTGAAGAACCATTTCACCATGCAAAGAACCCTTTAATCATACAAAGGGTTATTTTAGTGCTCATGGTTCTACATAAATCTTGAAGAACCATCTTTCTGTATGCAAAGAACCAATGGTTCTTTGACTCGTGTTTTCATATACACTCTTGAAAATAAAGGTGCTAATAAGAGTTCTTGGCCTAATGCGATAGAATAACTACTTTTGGTTCCATAAAGAACAATTCAATAAATAGTTCTTTAGAGAAACAATTTTGTGAGTGAGATTTATAAGTGTAAGTGAACCTCCACTTAATGTAAAGGTTCTAAGAAGAACCCCTCAAATTGGCAAAGACATCTCATTTACAAAAAGCATTATCTAAAAAAAAACATTAATTGAAAGGTTCTTTAAGGAACCAACAGTGGTTCTTCTATGGCAATGTGCAAAGAACCTTTTTGACACCTTTATTTTTAAGGGTGTATATAGAACCACAATGACTGAAAGAACCATTTCAACGCATAAACAGTTCTTTGTTTTAAGTGGAAAAGTATATATTTTTAAAGAACTTTTAAAAAAGGATCATAGGACCTTGTTTGGTACTATACAGAACCCATTTTACTACCAGTGTACCACACTCTTAAGAATGAAGGTGGCATAGAAGACTTTTGGTTCTCTAAAGAACTTTTCTCATATGCAAAGTGGTTCTTCTACTTCATCGCTCAAAGAACAATTTTTTAAAGCATGTATAACCATGTCCTTTGCTAAAGAACCCTTGAAGAACCACTTTTTTAACAGTGTGGAGTCGGTACCATCCATCCTCACTGCTGAGTGGAGCTCATTGTTTGTTTCCAATTACAGCAGAAGGAGCTTTAAACTCCTCCCACTGGGCGTCTATATAAACCCCACTGCAGAGGAGATCAGATCAGTGGAGCTTCAGAACCTCAACCCTCCTAGAACCGGGCTCTACTGCGCGCACTGAGGCTGATGTCAGCAGTGGCGTGTTGGAAGATGTTATCTAGCTGCTTGTGTTCTGTAAAGTAGCCCAGCTTCTCTCCTTGAAGGAACGTATTCTTCTCCAGATGAACCTCATTGGGACCTACCAGCATCCCCCCTTCCCGTTTATTCCCCGCTGCCATCAGGATACCCCATATTTCCCAGGCTGGGGGACGAGTCCTGGCCCTGCCCCCCCTGTCCCGGGGCAGGAGGGTCAGGTTTGCGCCCCGGGCCGCAGAAAAGAGCGCAGACGGACGGAAAGCATGAACTCGGCCTTCGCCCAGCTCAGAGGCTGCATCCCCAACGTCCCCTCAGATACCAAACTGTCCAAAATCAAAACCCTCCGCCTCGCCACCAGCTACATCGCCTACCTCATGGACGTCCTGGCCAAAGAGTCCGGGGGTCAGGAGGCCTTCAGGGCTGAGATTAAGAAATACGACGGCAGGACGCTGAAGAGGAAGCGGGACACGGTGAGTAGAGAACAGTGTTGAAGATACTGAGCACTGAGAACTGCAGTGGAACTTCTCAGAACATCCAGCGTCTGTCTGCATAGGAACTGTGCGGCTGACACTGACTTCTTGTTGCCATTTTCCGTTCCACCTTAAATGGTGCAGCTGTTTAATTTAAGGTGGAATGGAAAATTGCAACAAGAAGGAGTTTCAGGAGCTGAACCAACACAACAGAATCAAGTTAAACCCCAAAAAGGGGATCAAGAACCAAATATTAATGACTAAAACTGAACCGAGAAAAAACTAGACTACGTTACTCACTGAGATACATCAACATAACGCTGTTGTCCAAACTGGTAACTTTACAGGAGAAGGAAAAAACCTGCTTTACTTTTAATGTAAGTCAATGGAACCAGAGTTTTTACAAGTCATTTTGGGTCGTTTCTTTTAGTCCATTCATCATGAAATTTACAGACAATGTAAAGGACAACAGGTATTTTCAAATTATGTCAAAAACTGAAAAACGACAAAAATGGAGATACAAGGGTTTCTTCTGACAACAGTAATAAGCATATTGACATTTGCAAGTACAAATCCATCACAATTTAACTTGGAACTGCTAAAAATAAATGGCATTTTAGTTCCCTAAATAACCTTTAGGTAGACTTTTCAATCAAGAAAAACTTCTGTAAATGAGGTGTGAGAGCCGGATAAGCCTTTTTAAAGCCCCACACAACATAAAGGTTCTATTCCAGTTAAAGCTTTTTTCCTAGAACCATATGTCTAAGCCAAGAACCATCCAGGAACCTTCTCTTCTCGGTCCAAAACGTTCATAAAACAGTGTCTCAGTCATCAGGCAGTGAATTCATAACCATTTCATGTAGTAACTTTCTGTGAGGAGCTTTTAGAGGTGGACGCCTGGTTCCTATCACCACCACTGTGAACAAGGCAAGGCACGTTTGTTTACATAGCACATTTCATACACTGCTGTCATTCACAGTGCTTTACAAATGAGAAAACACAGAGTCGTTTACAAAACTAAAGAATAACAATTAAAAACATGATTAAAACAAAAGATTTAAAAGAGAAAATCATTCAATTAAAAATCAAATTAGAAAGTAGACAATTCTGACTTTCTGAATTTCTGAATAAATCAGTTTATAATTGTTTATAATGTTGTAGATATAGTTGTTATATTGTTTGATGAAGGTTCTGTTAAGGGGGCGTGTGCAGATATGAAATCTGAGTTAGTTGTTCAAGCTCACACTGAAAAAAGTGGCTCGTCAGATCAACCAAAACATGTGGTAACAAGTAAATTAACTAGTTTTACTCAACCTAAATAAATACTTTGAACAAACAATTTAATTAAAGTAATTTTTGAGTTGAATAAAATTAGTTCAATTGCTTCTTTTACTAAATGAAATATTTTTTGGGTTGATCTGATGAGCCACAGTGCAGAGATCGATTTAATTGAAACTTTATCGAAATAAATACGTTTATTCGAGTAATATTGTATAAATATTTTAAGGACAGATTCTTTGTACTTTTGGTCAAATGAGACTCCTGACTTTAAACAAAACAACAGAAAACACAAATTTGATCACAAGTATGAAAATAAAATGTAATCAATGGCTTTTTTAGTCATTCTAAATGTAGCTGTTGGACATAACTGTGTTTAATGGGTCTTTATTTAAATCAAATTCTTTCATTAAAATGCTGTAAAGCGAAATATCAGTTCAGATGGACATGAGCAACGTTAGTCCTCGGTCTTCTTCCTTTCCCACAACATTAATTAAACATTTTTTATTTAGTTTTGATTCTCAGACGCAGATTAAAACGTAAACTGACACTAAAAAAGGATCCTCAGTTCTGGAAGTGTTCTAACGTTTCCTATTAGATCCCTGTTCTGTAGTTCAGATCTGTAATCTGAGTTTGTGTTGGTCTCATTTACAGCTGGACTCAATACTGAGGTTATTAGGATAAATATATCGCTGCTGTTGGAAGAAAACCCCATCTCTCTCATTTTTCAGTTTTTGACATAATTTGAAAATACCTGTTACTCTTTACATTGTGTGTAAATTTCATGATGAATGGACCAAAAGAAACGGCCCAAAATGACTTATTCTGGTTCCATTGACTTACATTAAAAGTAAAGTATGTTTTTTCCTTCTCCTGTAAATTTACCATTTTGGAGGTTTTATATTATTTTAAAATATATTATTTACAGTGTTTTTTATAAAGAGCACTTTTGTGGTTTTATGAAAACGCAGCACAGAAATGATCCAGTGTCAGTTCTGTGTGCAATAATTAATAAACCTGAAGTTTAATATGAACATTTAAGAACAACCAGTGTCAAGTTTTGGAATGAATAAACCTAAAAAAAAGACTTTTTTCTGGGTAAAAATAAATGAAACTCAAATCAGAAGCTGACTGAGATCACTGGAGGAGCTGCGTGAACCGGATATTTCATTTAAAATTAAAGTCTGAACTTTTTTTCCATTTTCCCTGCTGTTCCCACTCTCCCACTTTGTCTATTTCCCAGCTTCCCTAGAGGATAAATTGTCTTTAATAAACGTAAACACTTGGCTGTGCGAAGTTTGTAGTTCTGTGTGAAATTTTCCATCATCCCATTTTCCTGTTCTGCCATTTTCTGTTTTCAGTTTTCCCCACTCCCATTTCACATCTTAATATTCCCAGTCATTCCATTTCCAATTTCTCCTCCGTTTGTTTTTCCACAATTCTCCATTTCCATTATCCCATTCCTCTTTCCCAGTTGTCCTATTCCACCATTCACATATCATTCCCATTTTTCCCTCATCCCATTTTCCTGTTCTGCCATTTTCTCATTTTTCTGTTTTTCCACTCCCCTTTCCCATTTCACATCATAATATTCCCAGTCATTCCCCTTTTTCCATTCTACTGCTTTCCTCATTCTCTTCTACTTTTCCATTTCTCCTTTTGCCACGCCTAAATTCACCATTTCTTTTCACCCATCCGTCTCTTTCCCAGTTGCCCTATTCCATTTTGTCACATTTCTGTTTAACATTCTCTCCTTTTCCACTTCACATTTCCACTGGTTTATTTTTTTTTCCATCGTTCTATTCTTTCACACCTCTTTTCACATTATTCCTTTCCACCATTCCCATTTTCTATTTTTTCATTCCCCTATTTCGCTCTCCATCTTTCAATTTTCCAACCTGTCCTTTTTTCTCTCCTGCTTCCCATAATCCTTTTTTCATTTTCTATTTTTTCTCGCATCTTTTCTATTTCCCATCCCACGATTCATTCCTACATTCCCTGTTTTCCAATTGTTAGACACTTTTAAAAAAAGATGGTTCTTCAAGGGTTCTTTAGTAAAGACAATGTTTCTTTATAGAACCACGAACACTCAAAGAACCATTTGCATAGACAGTGTGTTGTACATGGTTCTATATAGCACCAAAAAGGGTTCTAATATTTTGATGATGTCAAACGTAATAATAGAAGAACACTTGTTGGAGCTACACGGAACCTCCATAAGTCTGAAGAACCATTTCACTATGCAAAGAACCCTTAAATCATACAAAGGGTTCTTTGAGTGCTCATGGTTCTATATAGAGCCACTGTCTCTACTAAAGAACCCTTAAAGACTGTACATTTTCCATGTTCTCATTCTTTTCTATGTGTACGTTCCTCATTCCTCGTTTTTCCGTTCTCCCGCTTTTCTCCGTCCTCTAACTCCCTCTTTTCCCCTCGTGTCTCTCTCAGGCTGCAGGTCTGGACTGCTCGGTGAAGCTGAAGTTCGGCTCCAGGTCCGGTTGGCCTCAGCAGGTCTGGGCCCTCGAGCTCGACCCGTGATGTCATCTGTCCCGTCTGACTCGTGTTGAGAGCGACGAGCAGCGAAGCTTCAAAAATCCAGACTTTTTATTTAAGAGAGAAACAGATCTTACATAATAATATTAATAATAATAATAATAATGCTGATTGATTTTACCGTGGGTTGGAATTACCGCGCTGCTTCTGGACTCTGGAATAAAACAATGGAATTAATTCATTTCTACCTCATCAACTGACCGGAGGAGACAAACTAAAGCCAGGCTGGACACCAGGGGTCACTTACCACAGATTATAACCATTTATCACAATTTTAATAAATTATTTCTGCAAAATGGTGAATTTTTAGTTGCTGATCTTCTTTATTTCTGAATATTTGACAAATTCTGGACGTATTTATATTAAACTTGATCACCTTTGAGAAAAACATCTGTTTCTGTTTATTCTTTATTATTTCTTCTCTAGTTGTTTAAACCTGAGGTGGTTAATATGTTAACACTGAGTGTGTTTACATGCGCTCAATAATCCGATCATAATCAGATTTCTGAAGGTATCTGATTATTTAAATGCTCATGTAAACACACCATACTCCAATCTAGAAATCCGATTAAGAAATCTGATAAAGAGGCTGGATTTTAGCTCAGTAATCAGATTTGTCAGTGCTTGTAAACTCTTACTCTGATTTCTTTTGGATTTCTCAGTCTGCGCATGTGCGAAAACAGGCCGTGGTACCGGAAATAAGCGAGCAGCGTCGCCGCGAGACGCAGCAAAACACTTTTGGAGCGACGCTGAAATCGACTACATGCTTGACGAAACGAAGGATTTAAATATCGCTGTTGTCGGAAGAAAACCTCGTATCTCCAAAATGGTAACTTTACAGGAGAAGGAAAAAACATACTTTACTTTTAATGTAAGTCAATGGAACCAGACGTTTTTCCAAGTCATTTTGAGCCGTTTCTTTTGGTCCATTCATCATGAAATTTACACACAATGTAAAGAGTAACAAGTATTTTCAAATTATGTCATAAACTGAAAAACTGAGATACGAGTTTTCTTCCAACAGCAGCGACATTCTTCATCTTCTAGATGATGTATGTTCATATTTTCAGGTAAAGTGGTGCGATGTTTAAAAAAAACAAAACTGTGAGTTTATTGGCTGGTTGTAAAGCAGAAATCTGATTACTATCTGACTCATGTAGACCTGGAGTTTCCCTAATACCTGATTATCCAAGTGCATGTAAACGTGTTGATCGTAATCAGGTGCAAACAGATTAGAGCTTCATTACTTTTCCAATAAGCACTAAAACAGTTTAGACTGATATGCACTTAAGTCTGACAGTCAAGTCCACAAACTAAAACCACTTTTAATAATTATATCCTGATCTAAAAGAGTCTGATTATAAACTGTTCCTGCAAAATAACAGAATCTAGACTCACTCAAGAGCACAAAGGTGGAAGAGTTCTGCGCTTTCAGAACACGTCATGAACCTGACGTAGACTTTCTTAGGATCTTTCTCAAGAACAGCCTTAGGAAGATGTTGGTGAATGAGAGCCAAAGTTCTCTGGTCAGACTAAGCAAAAACAGAACTTATTTCCATTTACAGGAGAAGGAGCTCTAAACTCCTCCCACTGGGCGTCTATATAAACCCCACTGCAGAGGAGAACAGATCAGCGGAGCTTAAACCCTCCTAGAACCGGGCTCCAGAGCACTGCTAGTACTGTAGGCTGATGTCACCAGTGACGTGTTGGGAAAATGTTAGCTTCACTCTTAAAAAAGATGGTTCTTCAAGGGTTCTTAAGTAAAGAAAATGGTTCTATATAAAACCATGGACACTTAAAGAACCCTTTGCATGATTAAAGGGTGCTTTGCATCATGAAAGCATTCTTCAGATTGATGGAGAACATGTTGCAGATGTTTCTATACAGAACTTCTTGTTGTCTCTTAGTACCCTCTTCCAAAAAGTACTATATAGAACTAAGAACACTCAAAGAACCCTTTGCATGATTAAAGGGTGCTTTGCATCATGAAAGCGTTCTTCAGATTGATGGAGAACGTGTTGCAGATGTTTCTATACAGAACTTTTGTGTAGCACCAAAAAGGGTTCTGCTATTGTTACGATGTCAAGCTTGTACCGATAGCAGAACCCTTTTTGGTGCTATACAGAACCATATACAACACATTCTCCATCAATCTGAAGAACGATTTCACTATGCAAAGAACCATTTAAGCAGGCAAATGATTCTATATAGAACTCATGGTTCTAAACGGAACCATTCTCTTTACAAAAGAACCCTTGAAGAACCACGTCTCTTGTATAGGCTCCTGATTATAAGAATAATAAAAAAAAGACACAGATTTGAAATAGGGTTCTCAATAGCACCAAAAAGGGTTCTGCTTTTGTTACGTTGTCAAGCTTGTACCGATAGCAGAACCCTTTTTGGTGCTATACAGAACCATATACAACACATTCTCCATCAATCTGAAGAACCAAAATCTGAAAAAAAAACATTGCACGCAAATGATTCGATATGGAACTCATGGTTCTAAACAGAACCATACTCTTTACAAAAGGACCCTTGAAGAACCCTTTAAGAGTGTGGGCTCCTGATTATAAGAATAATAAAAAAGACACAGATTAGAAAAAGGGTTCTGTGTGGCACCAAAAAGGGTTCTGCTATTGGTACAATCTTGACATCGTAACAGCAGCAGAACCCTTTTATACAACACATTCTCCATCAATCTGAAGAACCATTTCACCATACAAAGAACCATTTAAGCATGCAAATGATTCTACGTGGAACTCATGGTTCTAAGCAGAACCTTCTCTTTACTAAAGAACCCTTGAAGTACCATCTTTTTAAAGACTGTAGGCTTCTGATTTCTTTTTCTTTAAAATAATAAGAATAATAAAAAGACAGATAAAAAAAAAGGAATAACCGTAACTCATGAGCAGCCCCTAGTGGCCGCCTGGAGTATCACAGGTACACAATGAGCTGGAATTGAAGGAAAGCTTGCGGGTGTTTTGATGTATAATGTTTATTAAAAGCAATATGCAGTCATCTTTATTTATTTATCTAATACAACAGTTAGATCAATGAAGTACAGCCAATGTCTAATCAAACAGAACAATAAAAGCGCTGTAACTGAGAGAGAACCCTACATGATACAAACTGAAAGACCGAGAGAGACGCTATGGAAATAAAATAAAATAAAAAAAAAATCTGAAACCTGTGAGCATGTTACACAACGGAGGACGACCCGGACAGGGCACATCAAAACTGCAGAGGGGAGGGAGAGAGAGAGAGACAGGGAGGGAGAGAGAGAGAGACAGGGAGGGAGAGAGAGAGAGAGAGAGAGAGAGAGACAGGGAGAGACGCCACACCAGTTTAATAAAGATCTTTAAGGGGGAAAAAAGAATAAATCAACAAATAAACAGTCGAGAGTTCTGTGTGGCAGAGTGGAGTCAATTAGAGCTTCAGCAATTCAGCCTCTTAACACACACACACACACACGCACACACACACACACACACGCACACGCACACACACACACACGTCCATCAGCAGTTAGTGCAGCATCTCCTGATCCACTCTACTGACACACCTGAGTTCACCTGCTTTAACACACCTCAGGACAGCCCCCCCATGGAGAGGAGAAAACCCCTCACCCCACCTTTCCCTCCTTCCGACAGCAAAACTTGACCTAGTATCCTAAAAATGACCATTTTTGACTTTGTGTCAAAAATAATGTGTTTATTTATTTTTTCCTAAAATCAAAATAACTTGTGTTCAGTAAATGTTTACTCAGCATCATTAAGACTCCATTTAATTAAATAATGAATATTACAAAAAAGTAATTATGTTGAAATAATGAAAATTTTCCCTGTAAATTTTGTCCTACACTCTGAAAAAAGACGGTTCTTCGGTAAAGAAAATGGATCTATATAGAACCATAGACATTCAAGGAAGCCTTTGCATGATTAAAGGGTTCTTTGCATCATGAAAGGGTTCCTCAGATCGATGGAGAATGTATTGTACATGGTTCTATATTGCACCTTTTTGAAAAGGGTTCTGTACAGCACCAAAAAGAGCTCCTCTACTGTTACAAGCTTGACGTCATAACAATACAAGAACCCTTTCTGGTGCTATATAGAACCATTTTCAAAAAGGTGCAATACAGAACCATATACAGCACGTTCTCCATAAATTTGAGGAACCCTTTAAGCATGCAGACGGTTCTTTGAATGTTCATGGTTGTATATATATAGGCTTAAAGAAATGACATATTTTAAAAATTTGTATTATGACAAAATAAAGAGCTTTTAAATTTCAGGAATGTGATTATGTTGAAATAATGTGACAGAATCTGGAAATAAAGAGTTACTTTTTTCAAGATTTTGACCTGAAATAATTACGGTAACACTTCACTGTAGGGTACAGTTCATTAGGCTACATGACATAAGCTTGTCATGACAACCGACATAACCCTACATAAACGTTTATAAATGCTTGTTCCAATTCCAATCATCTGTCTTAAAGTCTACTTTAGCCAACTTTGATAAAAATTGGCAAATGTAACCTTTATAGCGAATGACACCTATTGGAATAAGCTTTTATAAACATTTATGTAGGGTTATGTCAGTTGTCATGACAAGCTTATGTAGGTGTCATATAGCCTAATGAACTGTACCCTACGGTGAAGGGTTACCATAATTACTTTTCTCAAAATTGTGATGTATTATCTGGAGTTTTGAGTTAATAAGACAAAATTTTGACATACAACACTGAAATAATGAGTTTTAATAAAGTAAATAATTTACTTATTGATTTTATTGAATCATTTACTTAAATTGACTTAAATTCTCTAATTTTTGACTTTATAATCCCAAAAATAATTCTTAATATTTACCAACTCCTTATTTCAACATAGTAAGCCATTCTTTTGTATTACCAGGTCAAAATGATGACGGTTATTATTTAAAAGTCATTATTTATTGATAATAAATCAAAATTCTGACATACTGCTGTCAAAAACAGAAAAAGGAGAAAAAACAGGTGATTTTTTCTCCTCTACGTGCTGAAAATGAGCTTCCACACTCAACACATCTCACCCAGGACAACATGACTAGCCTACCAGATCAATAATACACTTATTATATTACAAATAATAATACACTGATTTAATTACATTACTATGTTATCATAATGAACCTAATGTATCATTAGGCAGTTATAATATACACTACATGTCCAAAAGTGACCAGACAGACCTTATAAGATGCACCCACTGCTGAAACAGCTTTAATCTCCATAGAGAAGCACTGATCCAATAGAATAGACGATCTGGAGCAGCTGCCCTTGAGCCTAAGGTCACTGTGTCCAACGCCAAGCATGGGCTAGAGGGGTATAAAGCCCCCCAGCATCGGGCTGTGGAGCAGTGGAACTGTGTTCTCTGGAGTGATGGAGCTCCATCCAATACCTTTAGGATGAGTTGGAGTGGTCCAGAACTGACCATCCAACATCAGTACCTGACCTCACTAATGCTCAATCAAATCCTCACAGCAATGTTCAACATCTAGTGTAAAGCCTTCCCAGAAGAGTAGAGGCTGTTCCTGCAGCACAGACTCTCTATTAACACCTTCATTTCAGAAGAAACGCTGCTGCAAACGTTTGGACACACAGTGTATATTATAATGAGTTAATTTCATTCATATTGCTGTCATTAATATTCGTTTAATATTATTATAATAACGAGATTAACTGAATCAGATGTGTTGAAACAAGAAAACCACACAAAATGTGTAGAAGGTTTGGATCTGCATCACAAGCTTCTAACCCTGTGAAGAACCTCAGAAGCTACTTACTGAAGATGCTTAAAGGGGAACTCCACCCATTTTCCTAAAATTCCAGCATAATTAGACGGTTTAGATGTAAACAGAGTCGTTCAGAGTGGTTTGGTGTGAAACGCTCTGTTCTAGATAAACTTACCGAGTCAGAACTGTTCACAGTGGTGGTGATAGGAACCAGACGTCCACCTCTTAAAGCTCCCTCACAGAAAGTTCCTACATGAAATGGTTATGAATTCACTGCCTGATGACTGAGACACTGTTTTATGATAGTTTAGAGAACTTAAACTCCACTCATGGTGGAGGGATACATGCAGGGCGCTGTGAGGCAAAATAGTCCCCAAAGAAAACTTATTATTTCAGATTTTCCACTATTTTCCCATCATCAACATTCCTTATAGACTCAGAAGACTCGTGTAGGTTCACTGGTGGTTCTGGATAGTAAATAAAATGTCTATATTTGTGTTGTAGTCATGGCGACCCCTGGTTCCCATCACCACCACTGTAAAGAGATCTGAACCATTTCACACCAAACCACTCTGAATCAGTCTGTTTACAACTCACACACTGAATTATGGGGGATTTTTGAGAAAATAATAATAATTATAAAGCATACGGTGCTGCTTTTCTCCAGGTAGCAGTCTTGATAAGCAGTTCTCAGTAAAGTTCAGGATATTTTATATCAGAATTTGGTAAAAACATTTATTCTTAAAAGCCCTATAGTTGTGTGCAAAAGTTTCGGCACCCCGGTCAAATGACATGTTGACTTTATTGTAAATTATTATTGTAAATTATGGTAAATAATTTAACTCTTACAGGGACAGAACCTCTATATGGCATTATTTCTGCTAATTAAAGCACACAGCTTCTATTTATTTGCTGAATGTTTATTATTGGATAAATAATAATAAACCACAAATGCTGCACATGTAACAATTAAGTTTTCCAAGTTTTGTCATTTGACCAGAAACGCCCAAACATTTGCATACAACTAAAGATCAGTGACCTTGCTGTGTAGCGGCGTGGTGCACACTTACAAAGAAGGTTCTTTAAGGGTTCCTTAGAAAGAAAATGGTTCTATATAGAACCACAGACACTCAAAAGAACCATCTACATCATTAAACTGTTCTTTACATCGTGAAAGCGTTCTTCAGATTGATGGAGAATGTGCTGTATATGGTTCTACATAGCACCTTTTTTAAAATGGTTCTATACAGCACCAAAAAGGGTTCTTCTATTGTGATGATGTCAAGCTTGTAACAGTAGAGGAACTCACTTTCTGGTGCTGTACTTTTCTATATAGACCCATCTACAGCACATTTTCCATCAATCTGAGGAACCCTTTCATGATGCAAAGAACCCTTTAATCATGCAAAGGGTTCTTTGAGTGTCCACGGTTCTATATACAACCTTTTACCAAAGAACCAATTAGCATAACCAATAGCAGAACCTTTCTGGCGGTATATAGAACCCTTTTCAAAAAGGTGCTATATCTTCTTCTGTTACAAGCTTGTATCATAATAACAGTAGAACTCTCTTCCATAAGGTTCTATATAGAACCATCTACAACTCATTCTCCATCAATCTGAAGAACAATTTCACCATCCAACTATGAAAGGGTTCAGATTAATAGAGAATATGTTGTATATGGTTCTACATAGCACCTTTTTGAAACGGGTTCTATATGGCACCAAAAAAGGGTTTTTCTCTTGTGATGGTGTCAAGCTTGTACCAATAGCAGAACCTTTTTGGTGCTATATAGAACCATGTACAGCACATTCTCCATCGATCTGAAGAACCATTTCACCATGCAAAGAACCATTTAATCATACAAAGGGTTCTTTTAGTGTTTGTGGTTCTATACCGAACCATGTGTTTACTAAAGAACTCCTGAAGAACCATCCTTTTAAGTGTGTAAGAGGTAACTGTACAGGCTTATGATGTTCTGACCTCATTAAAGGGACTAAATATTGTTGTTTTATTGTCAAATTAATACCAAAAAGTACAATAAAGATTTTTTTTGTTCTCAAACATCACTAAAGGGAATCCACGCCAAAGAAAATACTAAAGTGGTTGGCTATGAACGAAAGCTAACCAGCAAAGACCAGTTATCAGTTTAAAGTTTGAAGACCCCCAGTCGAATGACATTTTGTGTTGATTTGTGTTGACATTTGATGGTGAAAATAAGTGAACACATCTTGTACAGTGACCACACTGCATTTCAATGTTATGTCAGTGTTTATTTGCTGAATTTAACACATTTAGAGAAATTATTTTTGCATAGGCCACCTTATTTGCTATGTTTCCCCCCAGATACGTTAAAATCAGCAAATAAACAGTGATGGTGCCTTAAAGGCTACGTTCACACAGCAGGTAAAAGTGGCCCAAATCTGATCTTTTTCTCCGTGTGTGACACAGACGTGTGTCTGTGTGTCTGTCTGAACAGATAAACACACTGAATCTGACATTTTCACTTCCGATTTGAGACGCTTTTATATGTGGTACTGAAATCCGTTCTGCAGCAATGCGACTCGGTTCGGAATTCATGCGCCTTTTATGTCAGTCCAACTCGACATTCGTCAATTTCGCCCTGCAGAGACTCATAAACACTCAGGCTGATGTTTCTGTACCAAAACATTAGAAGAGACTCATCAAACTCCTCTGTGTTCGAAGAGGTTTCGAACGAAATGGCCGAACGCGGCCGGAGGAGACCGAGGCTGCAGCGCCAAAACAGTTTAAAGAATCCGAGGACGCGAACCAAAGAAGTGACCGCGCCCTTTTTACGCTGAGCTCCAACACATTCTGGGTGATGAGCCCAGCTGTCAGTCAGTGAAGCTTCATGATGGCTCCTGTGATGCTGGTGAAGATGAAGCTGATCCTCCGGGAGCAACTGGCGTTCGCTGGCGGTCGTGATTGTTTAGCTCTGGATGAGCCGTGAAGCAGCGTGACGCTCTGTTCTTTAGAGCATGTGGGTCAGTTTAGGAGCTGATCTGTTCAGACTGATGTCGCATACAGATCAGATTTAAAAGACATTGTGAACCACTTTTACCTGCTGTGTAAACGTAGCCAAAATGTGCAGAAAGTCAACAAAATGTAATTTGAACAGGGGTGCACAAACTTTTGACACTGATGGCTACTTAGAAATAACTGTTATTTAACAAGATCTTATCTGCATCAGCCAAGACGTTCATTTAGCACCGTTAGCATCATAAGTTCACGTTTAAGAGGGCAAAATTTATAATGAAACCATGTTTAATTAGAAGGTTTCAGCTGCGAATGTGTCAGAAAAAGAAAACAGTGGTTTGGTTAGTGCTGAAGTTAGCGAGCAGTGAGGAAGTGCCTTGGTTCGGGTCGCTGCAACAGAAACAACTTATACAGGAACACGGCTGCATTTTTCTCCTTCCGCCTCGTAATCTAGGCCCTGTGATTATATCGTTATGTACAGGTGATTCAGACTGAAATGAGACTCTGGTGCAGGAATGGTGTTTTAGTATGAAATGAAAAGACTAAAAACACACAATATAAACCTTTCAGACAAAAACTCAGCAGTTTACAACTTAAACGACTTAAACACGAGAAAAATGAATGAATACAGGACAGGAAATGATAAACAAGAGAAAAAAAAAATCAAATTCTAAGCGAGGTGTTGCTAACAAAATCTAACGAGACCGGCTAATCGTTTGCTGTGAAGCAGATGCGTGGGCGCTTTTATGACGGGTCAGTGCGTTACTGGAGCGTTCGGCCGGACCGCAGCACAGCTGGGCGCGGCTAACGTACGTCATTACGGTCAATAACATGCACTTTTTACCGATCCACGCTGGATAGAAACTATATTGGAGAAAAATACCCACCAACCGCAGCTTTGTGGAACCATTTCGCTGATTATTTTTTCTTCATAATTTACGGTTTTGGCACAGAAGCTGAACTTATTAAACAGTCACTTGGAAACGTGAATCATTCCCAAAGCGCTTTGCGGCAGATAAACGCTCTCCCACAGATGTGACGTGTGTTCGTTACTCTTGCTTGTGTTAACGTATACGAGTATATTCACATTAAACTCTTTACCCTGCGAGTGTCTGAGCAGTCACTAGAAAAGACAGCGTGGCCACTGGGGGGCGCTACCAAGGAGGAGGGGCTTTATTCCAGCTGTTTGCTCCCGTCCGATTTCTGGTCCAGTCGGCTCTTGCTGCTCTTCACCATATAAATAAAATATGTCAGAGTTTCCTTCTCGTTCACCGGAATGTTCCGGAAGTGGCGGCTCACGGTCTGAATAAAGGAAACAAAAGAAGAAAAAGAATATTAATCACAGAAGAGGTCAGGATATTGTACATCAGGGGTCAGCATGCAGCTCTTTTACTGTCCTGTTGTGGCTCCACAGCTGAATCAGATTTGTAGGTAATAATAAAATAATCCTCCTTTACAGTAAAATAAAGCTCTGCTGATCGTTCAACACAGTTTAACAATTAATGGTCTTAAACTCTGGAGTTAATGTAGAACTGCTAATTCACCCTTTAACCCTGAAGAGCAGCGCAGACTGCTGGTCACCATAGCAACGCAGACAACAATAAAAATATTTTTAGCCTGTACTAGTACATTAACACATACTGAGACATATAACCCCATTTCCAAAAAATGTGGGACACTGTGCAAAATGCAATGTTGTGCAAATCATTTAAACCCTATATTTCATTGAAAATAGTACAAAGACAACAAATCAAACACTAAAACTGAGAAATTTTACTGTTTTTTGAAAAAGCTTTGCCCATTTTGAATTTGATGCCAACAATACATTCCAAAAATGGTGGGACGGGGGCAACAAAAGGCTGGTAAAGTTGTGTAATGCTAAAAAAAACACCTGGTGGTTGATTGACAACAGGTCAGTAACATGACTGGGTATAAAAGAGCATCTCAGAGAGGCGGAGTCTTTCAGAAGTAAAGATGAGGAGGGTTCACCACTCTGCGAAAGACTGCACGATCAAATAGTGCAACAATTCAAGAATAACGGTTCTCAACATAAAATAGCAAAGAACTTTTGCTTTTCATCATCTACGGTACAAAATATCATTAAAAGACTCAGAGAATCTGAAGAAATCTCTGTATGTAAGGAACAAGGCCCGTGCTGTCCGTGATCTTTGGGCCCTCAGGCGGCACTGCATTAAAAACAGACATGATTCTGTAGTGGAAATCACTGCATGGGCTCAGAAACACTTCTGAAAACCACTGTCTGTGAAAACATCTCGACGCTGCATCCACAAATGCAAGTTAAAGCTCTAAAACACAAAGAAGAAACCAAATATAAACAGGATCCAGAAATGCTGCCACCTTCTCTGGGCCTGAGCTCATTTAAAATGGACTGAGGGGAAGTGGAAAAGTGTCCTGTGGTCAGACGAATCAACATTTGAAATTCTTTTTGGAAATCATGGACACTGTGTCCTCCAGGCTAAAGACCACTCAGCTTGTTATCAGTGCACAGTTCAAAAGCCAGTATTCATGCTGGTAAAGGGGGGCATTAGTGCACATAGTATGGGTGACCTGCACATCTGTGAAGGCACCATTAATGCTGAATAATACATACATGTTTTTGCAACATATGCTGCCATCCAGATGACGTCTTTTTCAGAAAAGGCCTTGATTATTTCAGCAAGACAATGTAAAACCACATTCTGCATGTGTTACAGCAGCATGGCTCCGTATTAAAAGAGTCCGGGTGCTAAACTGACCTGCCTGCAGTCCAGACCTGTCACCACTGAGAACATCTGGCACATTATGAAATGAAAAATACAACAAATGAGCCCCTGAACTGATGAGCAGCTGAAATCCTGTATCAAACCAGAACAGGAAAATATTTCACTTTCTAAACTACAGCAGTGTCTCCTCAGTTCCCAAACACTTACAGAGTGTTGTTAAAGAAGAGGTGATGAATCACAGTGGTAAACAGGCCCCCGTCCTGACTTTTTTGGAATGTGTTGTTAGCATCAAATTCAAAATGGGCATATATTTTTCAAAAAACAATAAAATTTCTCAGTTTCAACATTTGATTTGTTGTCTTTGTAGTATTTTCCTTTAAAAAATATGGTTTATATGATTTGCAGATCATTGCATTCTATACTTTTATTTACATTCTGCACAGCGTCCCAACCTTTTTGGAAATGGGGTTGTGTTTACAGCCAAGATGGTAAAATGGACATAAAATGTTGTGGCTCCCAAGGTGGTTTGATTTTTGCTGAATAGACCAAACGGCTGTTCTTCACATTTGGGTTGCGACCCCTGTTGTACATGTTTAAACTGTGTTTCTCCGCTAAGCTGTTAGATCAGTGACCTTGTAGAGGTCAGCTGTGGAGCCGCAGGCTGAGCGCTAATTGGACAGACTTGTTGATTTCTGATTTATTAATGACGTGTGATTCTCATTAACGGGGCCGAATTGTTCCTCCTGCCCACAGAAACGTCCAGCCAGAGGCGGTTTGTTAGCACAGAGCCGAACCAGCTGGATTAGCTTTCATAATAAAAACACACAGTGAGCCGCTCAGACACTCACTACATCATCTACACTAACGAGGATCAGTTACCGGACTCATTACTGACCACTTCGCCGTTACTGAGGGTTCTATAGGAAAATACTTTCCTCAATTAGCTCTTTCACATGTTTGGAAAAAGCAGACTGGCAAAAGTTTGAACACCCCCTGTTGAATGACATCGCATTGATTTTCTAATTGAAAATAAGTTACACGTCCTCTACAGAGAACACAATGCTGCACATTTTAATGCACTGAGAAAAAAAATAAATAAATAAAATATATATATTTTATTTATTTATTTTTTTCTCAGTGCATTAAAATGGCATCACTTTTGCCTAGACCACCTTATACGTTGGTTTTTCCCCCTAATATGAAAAAAAAGACCAAATAAAAAAAGACCAAATAAACACTGATTGTGCTTTAAAATTTGCAAAAACTCAGCAAATAAACAGTGATTCTGCCTTAAAATGTGCAGAAAATCAACAAAATGTAATTTGAACACGGGCGCCCAAACTTTTGACACTGATTGTACTTAGAGATAATGTTTTTGTCTATATATATATATATATATATATATATATTACATTTGTCTAATATATTTATTTACATAAAATTATAATTTGAGACTAGTTGGTGAGGACAGAACTGTGCAACACAGGCTTCAATGCATCAAAGTACAAACACAGTGTAAATGGGCGTGTGTGTGTGTGTGTGTGTGTGTGTGTGTGTGTGTGTGTGTCTGTACCTCTGCCAGCTGGGCTTTGTTCAGGCCTGGTCTGGTCTGGATCTTGTAGTGCCGTTTATAGCGCCTCAGTGTGTTCACCTGAAGCTGGAACAGATCCACCTGAGAAAGAAAAAACAAATCCAGCTCATCTATTAATCAAATACAGTGCATCGTACCTAATAAAGCAGGTGTTAAAGCGACAGACTGGAGGAAAATCTAGACACTTTACTCTGAATGTAGTCAATCAGTCGAGTCATGTTTGGGGTCTGAAGTGTGATTCTGTAGTTTCAGCACTGGAGCTATGAGGCTAATGAAGCTAACAAGCAACTGAACCTCATTAGCATGGTCCATGTGAAAACAAAACAGCCCCCTGCTGGTGAAAGCTGGTGTAACATGCTAAATGTTATCCAATCAAAATATACACACACACAGATCAGGCATAACATTATGACCACCTCCTTGTTTCTACGCTCATTGTCCATTTTATCAGCTCCACTTACTATATAGGTGCACTTTGTAGTTCTACAGTTACAGACTGTAGTCCATCTGTTTCTCTGACACTTTGTCCATGGGGGTCCTGACCACTGAAGAACAGGGTAAAAGGGGGCTAACAAAGTATGTCAAATGCTCTATATTAACCCATTCATTATGGACTCGCTCTGGAGCGCCCTCTAGTGTCTGAGAAACCCGGAAGACATTACAGAGTGGTAATTCTCCTCTCTACAAGTTCTCTGGTTTTACTTCAGCTTACTAGAATCTTGGTACACCATCCACTGCGGAGGAAAAACACACTCATTATCATCTACCACTACACCGGCTAGTGTTAGCGCAGTAGCTCATCTGAAGGGGCAGCCTCTGTTCGCCTCCTAGTAAAAAAACTACATTACCGCCCGTAAACAGTAAACAGAGAGGAAGAAATGATGATTCCTGATACCTCTGGGACCTCGACATCATGATCTGGAGACTCTCCTCCGTCATCACTCGTTTTCCTCTTCCGTTTGTTGCGGACGCTCTGGATGAAGTTTTTGTGGAAGTCACAGATGTACAGGTGTCTGACCTGCAGGAAAGGATTTACAGGGTTTACAGCTCAACCAAAATGCTACACACTTAAAAAGCTTCTTTAAGGGTTTGTAAGTAAAGAAAATGGTTCTATTTAAACCCTTTAACATTCAAAGAACATTTTGCCTGCTTAAATGGGTTTTAGCTTGGTGAAACGGTTCTTCAGACTGATGGAGAATGTGCTGTATATGGTTCCATATCAAGCCATTCGAACGTTTACACTTCTTATTTTGCCACAAACAGAAAATGGACTTCGGAAAATTTTAAGATCACATTTGACCGACAGCCGATTTGGTCAGACTCTGAAGATGAGATGACACTAAATTCCCAAACTGTCATCACCACTGAGCAGCTTTTCAGTCGGCAGCTGAGACAGAAGAACAGCTGAACAACCTGGAATCAGCCAGAAATGAACCCAACACCATTCGCCAAACGTGTAGTCTGATCTTCAGAGTCTGACCAAATCGGACTGAGCCATAAAACTGCCGCAATATCAGGTTCAGCTCAGTTTTGTCAGTTTTTGCCAGATCAGTATTAATGTTGTTTTGTTCCAGCCAGTCTGTAAAGCATCTTACAGCCCATTTAGTTTGGCGAATGGTGTTGGGTTCATTTCTGGCTGATTCCAGGTTGTTCAGCTGTTCTTCTGTCTCAGCTGCCGACTGAAAAGCTGCTCAGTGGTGATGACAGTTTGGGAATTTAGTGTGAGGAGCTGGAGAACGAACTGCTGGCTGTGCGGCGAGTGGGCGGAGCTCGTTACTCTGACGTAGCAACAAGCTGCTCGTTAAGGAACTATAATTTGGTGAAGGAACTGCGAACATTAAAACATATTAAACGCCGCGTTCACGGCCCAGTTTATTAATTTATTACTTTATTTATTTAACTGTTGTATTAAAGCAATAGAACACTCGAGGAGTGTGTTATCACCAATAACGCCACGGCTGTGAGGATCTACGGCGACCAAATCACAGCCGTGATGTTATTTCGTGATAACACACTCCCTCTGTGTTCTATTGCTTAATTACAGTACGCTAGTCTAGCCTAGTTGCCCAGCATTAATACTGACACCCAGCTGTGTTTACAAAGAGTTTTAAACGTAGTTTACACTCTTTTTACATTACAGCACAGTAAAACAATTAGCATTTAACATCCCGCTGATTGCTATGAAGAACGGCAGCAGTTGTGAGCAGAGGATTGTGGGAACGGCAGAAATCAGGCGATTAAGAACTTGAGCTTTTCTCAACTTTATGCAAATCAGAAGCGAGTTTTGCAGGCTGTGTGTCACGGTACGTGCTGTCATGCATCACATCCAGTCAAAACGACACGCTGAGATCAGTGTTGACGGAAGACAGAGGAGAAATAAGTGGGAGATTTTTACACTGGTTCACATTTTTATAAACAATACTGGCTGAGGTGCCAACACGTATGGTTTATCCATTTAAAACATGCTGTTTTCACACTTTTGAGGACACACAGTTGTATAAACCTTGGATATGGTAAATCTACTCTAATTTCCCCATAAACTTTGTTCAAATCTGCCTTAATTATTTGCTTGAGCACACAGCACAATCTGCCGTTCAGTGCGAATGCACTGTTTATTTTTCCAGGTTTAAAATGAGTTTTAGTGCACATTATCTACTGAATATACTGCAGTAAAGACATACACTATATGGACAAAAGTATTGGGACACACCCCCTAATCACTGAATTCGGGTGTTTCATTCAGTCTCATTGCCGCAGGTGTATAGAATCAAGCACCTAGCCATGCAGCCTGCCTTTACACACATCAGTGAAAGAATGGGTCTAAAGAGCTCAGTGAATTCAAGCGTGGTGCTGTAATAAGATGCGGTTACAACAAGTCAGTTCGCGAAAGTTCCTCCCTCCTAGATTTTCCACGATCAACTATGAGTGGTATAATTGAAAAGTGGAGGCGTTTAGGAACCACAGTAACTCAGCCACGAAGTGTCAGACCACATAAAGGTACAGAGCAGGTCAGCGAGTGCTGAGGAGCATAGAGCATAAAAGACACCAACACTCTGCTGATCAATAACTGCAGAGTTCAAACCTCCTCTGGATCAACATCAGCACTGAAACTGTGTACCAGGAGCTTCATGGCAGGGTTTCCATGGCCAAACAGCTGCATGCAAGCTTTACATCACCCAGCACAATGCCAAGCGTTGGATGGAGAGGTGTAAAGTGCTGCCACTGGACTCTGGAGCAGTAGAGACGTATTCTGTGGAGTGACGAATCAGCTTCTCTATCTGTCAGTCTGATGGACGAGTCTGGGTTTGAATGCCAGGAGAACGTTACCTGCCTGACTGCACTGTGCCAGCTGTACAGTTTGGTGGAGGAGGGATGATGATATGGGGCTGTTTTTCAGGGGTTGGTCTAGAACCCTCAGTTCCAGTGAAGGGAAACCTTAATGCTTCAGCAGAACATTTTGGACAATTCTATGCTTCCATCTTTGTGGAACACTTTGGGGAAGAACCTTTTCTGTTCCAGCATGACTGAGCCCTCGTGCACAAAGCAGCTCCATAAAGGCCTGACTGGGTGAGTTTGGTGTGGAAGAACTTGACTGACCCTCACAGAGTCCTGACCTCAACCCCATCACACACCTTTGGGATGAACTAGAATGGAGATTGTGAGCCAGGCCCTCTCGTCCAACGTCAGTGTCTGACCTCACAAATGCTCTTCTGGATGAACGAGAACATTCCCACAGACTCTCTCCAACATCTTGTAGGAAGCTTCCCAGAAGAGTGGAAGCTGTTAGAGCTGCAAAGGGGGACCAGCTCCATATTAATGCCTATGGATTTAGAATGGGATTCATAGAAGCTCCTGTAGGTGTCCCAATACTTTTGTCCATATAGTGGATCAGTGTATACAGGCTGAAGACATGAAGATGCTTCAGCAAAGATACACTTTACTCTTCCTTCTCACCTCGTAGACCACGCGCTCGGTCAGCTCCCCTCAGAGCATGAGCTGACTGTGTCTTCGCTCTCTGACAGCATTTGACTGTGTTTATATGCGTTTTTAACTGTAGGTGAGAATCTGTTCATCTTAATTTCCAATAAAGATTACCAGAGAAACTAATCACAGCACAGGAAATCAATACATGCCGAGCTGCTGATAATAAATTTAATGTTAGGTATGTTTTATACGGGTATCTGTCAATTTACAGTTCTGTGAACATAAGAGAGCAACTCTACTGTTTAACACCTGAGTCTTAGACTTTCTCACCTGCGATTCACTACAGTTCATTTTAGCAACTCGCCCACAAAGCTGCCAACAGCCTGAGAGGTGAGTGCTTCACTTCACTGTAACCTAAATTCAGCACAAAGATGGTCTGACACTCTCGTCAATGTCCAGTTAGATTTTTTTGGGAGAGAAAACTCCACATTTTAATTGCAGCATTAGATATTTATCTGTCTGTAAGACTCTCAGCTTCTCCTCATCTGTGTTTATGGAGTTTAACCTCTTTAACTCCATTCTTTACTTCATAACTTTCATATTTCATAAGCTACATTCTAAAGGTGGGGGTCGTATGAGAGCTGTTACTGTCTTCTTTCCAGTCAAATAGATGGGTGATGTCATTTTAAACCCTTATAATAAAAGAAGCTGAACTCACAGTTTATTTGTTTACTGAAAGTCGACCCATTTTTCCACAAATCTGAGCTATAAACTATAAACAGATGGCGTCTCTTCAGTGATCTGGTCTGTAAAAATTATTTTTATAAAATAATACAAAGAGTGTCTAAGATTTTGGGCTTTCAGCAGTAAATTGTAAGCATATAGCAATATGTGTGATCATAAAACATGTTCTGTTCATTTGAGGGGAGGTTTTACAAAAAAAAATTAGTTATTTCATGCAGTTACTGAATAATGTGCCTTAAAATTTGGTCATGTAGATTCAGATGGACAAACCAAAATATACCTACCCACCTATACCTAAGAGGTTAAACCCCTGGTTCCTATCGCCACCACTGGAAAGACATCTGAACCATTTCACACCAAACCTCTCTGAATCACTCTGTTTACATCTTAACCAGGGAATCGTGCAGGAATTTTGAAAAATCGGTGGAATTCCCCTTTAACATCCACTCTGAATTCCCTAGCTATTTACAAGTTTAAACTCAGTTTTAAAGCTCAACAGGCACCAAATCGTAGCCTGGCTGTATGTTTATATGAGGCTGGTCAGCTTCTCGTTCCACCTTAAATGGTGCAGCACAACGTAACCGCTGCATCATTTAAAGGGGAGTGTGGATGTAGATTCAGATGGACAAACCAAAATATACCCACCTACCTATAAGAGGTTAAATGGAGCTTTAAATGCAGTTTAAAGTGCTCTTACGCTCTTGCTGACCTCCAGTTTGACCTCCCTGTTTATTTATGGGAGTAGAATATACAGTGATACAGTCTATAGACATGACTCTCCGCTCCTCTTAGGCTGTTTATGGAGCTTCAGTGTGGTTTTGCCCTTGTTGACGTCTAGTTTGAACTCCCTGTCAAATGCATCGTGGTAAAGACACCGCAGGACATCAGCTGGATGTTTTATGCCAGAGAAAACTCAAATCTGTTAGCACTGTTGAATTAACCCACCTCTATCCGTCTGCTGTGTTTACAGAGTTTTAAATGTAGTTTAAAGAGCTCTTATGCTCTTGTTAAAGGAGAACCCCACTAATTTTCAAAATTTCTGCATAATTAAACGGTTAAGATGTAAACAAAGTCATTCAGAGTGGTTTGGTGTGGAATGCTCTGTTCTGGAGAAACTTACCGAGGCAGAATTGTTGGTGATAGGAACCAGACGTCCACCTCTAAAAGCCCCCTCACAGAAACGTATTACATTAAAATGGTTGCGAATTCACTGCCTGATGTCTGAGACACTGTTTTATGATAGTTTGGGTTGTTAATCCATTTGTTTTAATCCATCCATGGTGGAGGGATACATGCAGGGTGTTGTGAGGCAAAATAGTCCCCAAAGAAAATGTATTATTTCAGATTTTCCACTATTTTCCATCATCAACATTCCATATAAACTCAGAAGACTCGTGTAGGTTCACTGGTGGTTCTGGATAGTAAATAAAATGTCTATATTTGTGTTGTAGTCATGGCGACCCCTGGTTCCTATCACCACCACTGTAAAGACATCTGAACCATTTCACACCAAACCACTCTGAATCTCTCTGTTTACAACTCTACAAACATTGAATCACGCAGGAATTTTGAAAAATCGGTGGACTTCCCCTTTACCATCCACTCTGAATTCCCTAGCTATTTACGAGTTTAAATTAAGTTTTAAAGCTCAACAGGCACCAAATCGTAGCCTGGCTGTATGTTTGAACGAGGCTGGTCAGCTTCTCGTTCCACCTTAAATGGTGCAGCAGTTACAGCGCTAGCCTGAGGCGCCAGGATGTAACCGCTGCATCATTTAAGGTGGAGCGTGGAAATTCGAACCAGACGCTGGCAAATAGGAAGCGAACTTCAGCCTCGTTGTGTTTGCGGAGTTTAGGCTGAGTTTTAAGCGCGGTTTAAGGTGCTCTTACGCTCTTGTCGATGTCCAGTTTGAGTTTTTTCTGAGATATGCTCTTCTGGATCCTCTTGCTGAAGCTGGCGTTACCCGCAGGCCGGCCGCAGCGCTCTCCGTCCGCGATCAGGCAGCAGCTCTGCCCGAACAGAGGCCCCGGAGCCGGCGGCCCGTCGTGGCTGTCCTCCTCCGTGCTGAAGCCGTTCATACCGGCCTGGCCTGGGTTCAGACAAGCCGGGGAAAGCGCGGAACTGAGCTGAGCTGAGCTGGATCCCCGGAGCTCCTTTAGCTGGTGTTAGTTTGCTTAGCTGGTCAACACAAACAACACAAGCGAGCGCAGCTCTGATCAACAGCAGCGCAGAGAGACAAAACCCCCCAAAACTCGCATATATACGAGTCCCAGTGTTTACTAAACCCTCCGAACCGCCCTTTAGGACTCCAACACAGCCGGTAACGTGTCAATTTCGGCGTTTTTAAAGCTGTTTTTAGGCGTAAAATCCTTTAAAAACCTCTTTCACTCAAACGAGTCCTGGAGTCCTGCAGTCCAGCACCGGATGCTCCCCACCTCCAACCCCATTGGTCCGTTCCCGGCGTGGGCGGGCCCTAGCGGCGCCTCCTCGGGTTCTGATTGGGTGAAGCACACGTCACTCGCCCCCGCTGCTCTTCCTAGTTGTGCCGTGTGATTGTGGGCTGATGTACACGCTGCTCTGCAACAAGGTGAATCAAAAAGCCTCTCAAACGCAAACCGAGCCCCGAATTTCTCCCCCAGACAGTCAGCGCTTTCACACACGCCGCTAGAATCCGCTTCAAAGCTTCTTCTCCGAATTTTCCGTTCTACCTTAAGGTAGACTGTAACTGCTGCACCATTTAAGGTGGAACGGGAAAATTCGGAGAAGCTTCCTCCAACAAAGAAACGACAGGAGGGCGTAAGGCAGAGTCTAACTGGGTTATTTTTAGAAAGTGAGATGGGTGCTGTGAGTTATCAGAAACCTAAAATCCTCTCCCTGCTGCTGACACGACGTCGGTCATGTTAAAGGTTCGGACACAAACGCTGACAAAGGGCGTGACTGTACTGAACTCCGGCCACCAGGGGGAGGCAGAGTGGCATAAACAGGCTGGAGCCGGTGTTCTGACGAATTGTGCTACCTTGTCCAAATGTGCTACCGTACTGGATATTTTAGGTAGCGCTCTACATAAAACTACATAAATCACCTTATCAGAAAACGTTACCAGCATCAAAAGAATAATTAGGATATTGTAATGGTACAAATCACCTTATCAGGGAGTGAGTGATAATATTAAGATGAGTCTGTTAATGAATTAACATTAAAAACAAAATAAAACCTTTCAAACGTTGCTAGTCATAGATATACACACTTAGATGCCGCGTTGGGTCGTCAGGCACGTCAACGGCGCCGCCATTGTAGGGCGGTCAACATCGCTGCTGAACTGCTTTCAGTAGCATTACAGAGCGGCAGTTTAAGAAAGATACTGTCCAAAATTACACTATTTCAGGAATATTACACTCAGAAAGTGGGATAGGATTATATAACGGAGGGAACGCAGTGATCCACACTCATGTCTGTGTGATGTGTATTGTTTGTGTGGTGTTTGTGTAGATATGGCCATGTGGTTAATGAGGCACAGAGAACCTGTTGGTGTGATTGTTTTTTCTCTGGTTTTATATTAAATGATTCACACATTGATGGATTTGCTGTTTGTGTTTCTCGCGCTAAACTCGATTTTTAACGTCAGGTGCAGACTGAATACTCTCCTGCTGGTCCGGACGGCTAATTATCACGATCAGTTATTAAAGTAATAAAAGCTGCCGAGAGCAGATCCGAGCAGCCTGGATTAATCTGTGTCTGAGGATTATAACTAAACAGATTTGGTGAAAATCGGTTGAGTAGTAAGGAAGTTGTGGCTGATTTAATCCTGAGACTCATCGTCTCTCAATACAAGTGAATCTGTTCACAAGCGGATCTTGACCGCTCCAACATGGCGGACGCGCAGACGTATCGCCTCAGACAGAGAACAGCAGACAACGCGGCATCTAGGAATATGTATCTGTGGGTACTAGCTATGTAACGATATGCGCATGCTCAGTAGGACCACTCGATGGGTAGAACAAATTGTTAGAACACCGGTTTAAGGTACAGGAGAACATTTAGCCATGCAATGAATTCCTAAGACACAGATTTAAAGCTTCCACTTTCTGTGAAGGAGACAGAATAATTGGAACATCTGATTTTCTCATGAAAGCTATCTAAAATGTTTTGGAATGAACTTTATGCTTGTCTGACGACTAAATCCGAATTACCTGACCTGGAATATAAATTCATAAAATGTGATATTTTTATTGATAATTCTAAGACAGAATTTTGAATTAACAATGTTATAATTTGGGCTAAATACTGCATACATAAATGCAGAACTGTTAAACTCTCCCAGTTGGTCAGCCTCCCAAAATGATTTGGCTTTTCTTTACAAATCCTTGAAAGTCATGTGTAGTAAAAATGCCCTTAAACTGTGCTCATTATTTTGAATATTAATGCCTTTTTTATTTGCTTCTTTACTTGGAAATTAGTTTTATGTAAGTTCTTATTCTGTTAATATGAAATAAACAGATTGTTGCTGCTCTGTTTATCAAAGTTGCTGCATGAAATGTATTTGTAAAGCCTTTTTCATACTGATTGAATAAAAAAAGAGGAGAGGAGAATTCTCGCTCTGTAATGTCTCCCGGGTTTTGCAAATGCTAGAGGGCGCTCCTGAGTCCAAAATGAATGGTTTAATATGGAGGATTTGAACAAAATTACAGTTAATAATATTCATTTTTAATTGAAATGAATGATTTTAATTTTCTAAACAAAGAACAGCATAAACAATTTGAACACTGCTGTTATATTTTTAAGAGCTTTTAAACTCGAGTTGTAGGAGTTTAAACTGGCGCCTCATGTATGTTCATGATGTCTGTGAGCGCAAACAGCCAATGAGCTGCTCCGCTCGCCAATCAATCAGCACTCAATATCAGTAATACCAACCAATCAGTGCTCAGTAGCAGTAATATCAACCAATCAGCGCTCAGTAGCAGTAATGCTAACCAATCAGCACTCAGTAGCAGTAATGCTAACCAATCAGCACTAATCAGCTAAACGGCTGATCAGTTAGCATTAATGCTATACAGTGTTGAATGGTTAGCATCACTGCTACTGAGTGCTGATTAGTCGTCATTACTGCTGCTGAGTGCTGATTGGTTAGCATCACTGCTACTGAGTGCTGATTGGTTAGCATTACTGCTACTGAGTGCTGATTGGTTAGCATTACTGATATTGAGTGCTGATTGGTTAGCATTACTGATATTAAGTGCTGATTGGTTAGCATTACTGCTGCTGAGGGCTGATTGGTTAGCATTACTGCTACTGAGTGCTGATTGGTCGGCATTACTGCTACTGAGTGCTGACTGGTTAACATTACTGCTACTGAGTGCTGATTGGTTGGCATTACTGCTACTGAGTGCTGATTGGTTAGTATTACTGCTAATGAGTGCTGATTGGTTATCATTACTACTGCTGAGGGCTGATTGGTTAGCATTACTGCTAGTGAGTGCTGATTGGTTAGCATTACTGCTGCTGAGTGCTGATTGGTTAGCATTACTGCTGCTGAGTGCTGAGTGGTTAGCATTACTGCTGCTGAGTGCTGATTGGTTACCATTACTGCTACTGAGTGCTGATTGGTTAGCATCACTGCTACTGAGTACTGATTGGTTAGCATTATGGCTACTGAGTGCTGATAGGCTAGCATTACTAATACCGTATGCTGATTGGTTGGCTAGCTAATCAGCTCATTGGCTCAGTAAAGCAGGAACTCATTTTCCAGTCAAAATAAAATTCCCGAGCCAATTTCAAATGTAAAAAAGAAAAACGCAGTGAAAACTATTTCAGATTTAATTTGATTTCCAACATTTTGAACTGTGATGTTATCAAAAGCGGCTCTCTGGAGAAGTTTTAAAAGACAGACTCAGAAACATAAGAAGATAACGGTTTATTTTACACTTCAGAGAAAATATGTTACAGTTCCGTTTCACCTGGATGATCTTCAATATCTAAACATTTGTACAGACTGTTGTTTCCGTTTGTATAAAAATACTGTCCAGTTGTTTTTCTACACGTTAGAACTGCACACACGTTCATAGCCAACATCCGCGGCCGACATAGAACCACGCTTTTAAAAATCAGCTTCAGTTGAAAAACTTCTTAGAACCTGTTTATTATTTTTTTTAAAAAAGGCATTTTACAAAATAGAATTTTATTAACACCCTAAAAAGTTTCCCTTCAACCCGATTATAATAAAAAAAAACCTCTAAAAATGCAGCGGACCGCACAAAACACCGCAGAACATACGGAGTGCAAAGCCAAACCAAAGAGCGAGAAGTTTCTTAACTGGCGTTCGCCATCGAAGCACATCTGTTCACGTTAGAACCCGTCCAGAGCGCTGAAGCGACCCACTGCAGTGCCTTCAATCTGCCCCGAGACTGATTTAAAGAGGAATTCAGTGTGTGAGGTATAAACAGAGTGATTCAGAGGGGTTTGGTGTGAAATGGTTCCGATGTCTTTACAGTGGTGGTGATAGGAACCAGGGGTCGCCGTGACTACAACACAAATATAGACATTTTATTTACTATCCAGAACCACCAGTGAACCTACACGAGTCTTCTGAGTTTATATGGAATGTTGATGATGGAAAATAGTGGAAAATCTGAAATAATAAGTTTTCTTTGGGGACTATTTTGCCTCACAGCGCCCTGCATGTATCCCTCCACCATGAATGGATTCAAATAAATGGATTAACAATACATTTCAGGCCAAAAGTTTATCACGAAACTATCGTTACACAGTGTCCCAGTCATCAGGCAGTGAATTCATAACCATTTCATGTAGTAACTTTCTGTGAGGGAGCTTTTAGAGGTGGACGTCTGGTTCCTATCACCACCACTGTAAACAGTTCTGACTCGGTAAGTTTCTCTAGAACAGAGCGTTTCACACCAAACCGCTCTGAATGACTCTGTTTACATCTTAACCATTAAATTATGTGGAACTTTTGAACAATTGGTGGAGTTGTCCTTTAATAACTCTGACCTGCACAGCCAAATGCACAGAGCTTAACTGCAGTGGGGTGTCTCAGTGTCTCCCTCTGGCTGGTGACGGGCCTAATAATTTACCCAGTGAGGTTAAATCAGGCATTTTAAATTTGGAGAAAGCACAAAAAATGCCAAAACAAACAGAACACACTGTTCCCTAAACCAGCGGAACAGATCCACACATCATCCCACAGCTACACTCTTCACAATAAAGGAGCCAAAAGGGTTCTTTGGAGGAAAGCCTCAGGAACAGAGGAACCGTGTACGGCTCCCTGAAGAACCTTTCAACGAATCAGTGATTTTAAATGAGGCGTGAAGAACCTTTGTAACACATAACGTAAAGGTTCTATACCAATTAAAGGGTATTCCCTAGAACCGTGCATCCAAGCCAAGAACCGTTAAGCAACCTTTATTTTTTAAGAGTGTACAGAACATCAGTCAAAGCGATCCTTTACACTGAGTGTCCGGTTTATTAGCAAGTCCAACCTTGTTCTCGGTGGCCACTTTATCGGAAACACCTCATAGAGCTGCACTTCGTAAGTTTACTGACTGCTGGGTGGATGTTTGTTTGTGGAGGTAAAGACTTGTAAACTTTTTGGTGCTATAAAGAACCATTCAGAAGGTTCTTTAAAGAAATACCTAGCATAGGTTCTCAGTCAAGGTAAATATATGGCCCATTTTACTGAATTAGTTCAAACTGCGTCCCAAAAAAAAACTATTAAAAAAGTATTCAGAGTAAAGATATTTACAAGTATTCTGTACTGATCTGTTTAAACTCAAGACATTAATAGAGATAGTAATAAGCTAAATATATACAAAATTATTAACAATATCTACTCGTCCAAATACCCCATAATTTACACTTCTTAAAATAATATTTACTTTAAAAAATAATAATAAATGTTTTTTTGAAGATCTTTTAAAGTGGAGTTGAAAGATTTAGATTTATCATGAGTTTCAATTTAAATAAAAAGCTTTATTCTAAAAATGCTGTACCACGTTTTCATGTCACTACCGAAACAGAGTTTTAGTCTGTAGGCGGAGTCTTATTTTAGCCACGCCCTTGTATTTTAGAGCAGGAAGTGAGGCTGCATCCCTGTCCCTCATGGCCACATGGTGAGCAGTTAGATCCCATTGTTTTGAAGTAAATGTGTCCCAAAGTCTGAAAATCAGTGTGGAACATTAAGAATTGTCACTACCGAAACACAGATTTTTGCAATTAAGTACCTTTTTGTGTTTTAATGTAAAATATGATGATTTTCTGTGTGAACAGCTGTTAAAGCTGTGTTTGCTGGTCATGTACTGGCTGCGTTTTTGAGCTCAAAATGAGCTGAAATTGTCACTGAAACAGTCACAACTGAGACATTTGGCAAAGTTTGGTAGAGTTATGATTGTTTTAGTAGTGAGAAAATGGAACATTCAACCATTAGTTGTAATAAAATTATCATAATTAAGGTATAGAGTCACTCAAAGTTAAAGGATTAAGTTAAAGACGTTACATTTACAGCATTTAGCTGACGCTCTTATCCATATGATCATTTTACAAAGGTGGGTGAAGGCAGTGTTAGGAGTCTTGCCTAAGGACCCTTATTGGTATAGTGTAGGGTGTTTACCCAGGCGGGACATTGAACCCCAGTCTACAGCGTAGGAGGCAGAGGTGTTACCCACTACACTATACCAACCAAACACAAATGTGTTTTGAGCTCTGACTCTGAACAAGTTTGGTAAAATGATCCATATACATAATAATAAGAAGAAGAAAAAAAAAGAAGAGGAATTCATACAATAAAGAATATAATAACCATTCATCTTAACTGTCTGAAGACATCTGTAGGCCACACTCTCAAAAATGAAGGTGCTAAAAACACTTCTCGAGTGATGCCACTGAATTATGGCCACCAAACCTGGTCCTGGAAGATCTACCTTCCTGCAGACTCTGGTTCGAACCCTGTTCTACCCCACCTGCTCCAGATAATTATCTTCTTCAGAAGTCCTTGATTAGCTGGCTCAGACGCATTAGGGCTAGGTTAGAGAGGACAGGGCAGCATGTTTGATGCAGGTTGGCACTAAACTCTGCAGGAAAGCAGATCTCCAGGACCAGGGTTGGTGGCCACTGCCACTTTTGGTTCCCTAAAACAGAGGTTCTCAAACCGGTCCTCAGATACACCTTTTTGCTCTATCGCTGTGCACTGCCAGTTGTGTTGGAGCAAGGTGGGCTGTCTGGAGTCCCTGAGAACTGTTTATTCTACCCTAAAAGACTTTGTGTATGATTCTTTAGAGAACCATTTTCGGAAATGGTTGTGAGTGTTAAGAAACCTTTTTAAAGCTTAAAGAACCTCCACGCAATTTAAATGTTCAAAGAAAGAACCCTAAATTGGTAGAGAACCTTTATATTTCATGAGAGTTCTTCACATATACAAATCTCTTTTTCAAACATGGTTCTTTAGTGAACCAGAAGTGGTTCTTGTATGGCATCGCTCAAACAATCCTTTGGCTGCATTTAGAAGGTTCTTCAAAGAGCCATATGTAATAGGTTCTCAAACAGGGAGATTATATACATGGCAATAATAATAATAATAATACTAATGAATGCCATAGACAATATAATAACTGACCACACCTGACCTGACATTCAGAACCACACAGAACTTTTATAGCATCCAGATGGTTCTTTAAGTTGTCATGTGACCACTGTCTTTACAAAAAAAACCCAAGAAAGAACCCCTTATTTAAGAGCGTAGGTGTTTCTGATAAAATGGCCAATGAAAGTAGGTGCAATGTAGGTACAAGGTAGGTGTTTCCAATAAACTGGACACTCAGTATAGGGTCAATGGTGCAAAACCTGCCACCTACATGCAGGCATTTGTAGCTGCTGCCATGATCAACACTGCTCTTAATACAGCCCATAATAATCACTCATTCAGGAGAAGTTAAACACAACACTGCGGAAAAGAAAGCAAACTGAAAATAAAGGGATTTAGATATAAGAGTCTTAATTAAAATGCAAATGACTAATGACTAACGACTAACGCGGGTCTGTCTGGCCTTTTCATTATGATTAAAAATGATTCACACAACACAAACCAAACAGCCGCTGTATGACCTTCCCCTCCGTCTCTTACAATCCGTGCATGATTCATCACAGCAGGGCCAGATTCAGAGCAGGTCAGCGAGGATTAACCACAATAAGAAAGATCTTCAGACATTTTCCCACTAAATCTGAACGGAAAAGCTACAGTTTACAGAAATAAACAACAAACGAGGGTGAAATTAGCTGCTTACTCATTTTCAGGGGTCGGTCTGGGAAAGATGTGTTCCCAACATTATGCTAGCACTAATGCTAGCTAAGTTAGCTACATAGCATGTAAAAATATAAGTAGCCAGGTAGCTACAATCAATAACCAGAATTAGCATTGTCTTCCCTTCTTAGATCTCTCTAGTAGGGCTGGGACGATAAGCAATGTTTGATAAGTGATAAATTGGGATAAAATTATTGACAGTTATAAAACAGTTTCCATTTGTGCCAGAGGGTGGCGACAAAGTCAAAGGCCTTTACACACCAAGTCTGAGTTTTACAGTCAAAAACATAAAATAACCATAACAAAATAAAAGGCACGTTTCGTCAACTTAAACACTAACGTCGTCTTTCACATCACAGCTCATGGTTGTTGCTGTAGTTTGTCGGGAGAGCGTTTTAGTGATGTTAACACTGATTTCTAGTGAACTCTGAATCAGGACTATTTGTGGAAGAATAATTTAAGTTCAACAACTATGCAAATACTAGTCACATCCAATTATTTCTTAGCGTGAGTTTTCACATCATGTCGTACGGCTTTACGTATTAACGTCAGAGAACTTGTAGAGAGGAGAATTCCCACTCTGTGATGTCTTCTGGGTTTCTCAAACACTAGAGGGCGCTCCCGAGTCCAAAATGAATGGGTTGATATGGAGCATTTGAGCAAAATCATGTTTTATAAATTCTTAAACATTTTTAATGTAAAAGAATACAATAATTTCCTGAACACTGAACAGCATAAAACATTTAACACTGCTGTTATATTTTTAAGAGCTTTTAAACTCGAGTAATAGGAGGTTTAAATGCTCACCAACCAATCAGCACTCAGTAGCAGTAATGCCAGACTTCTGCGCAAAACCTGTTTGCTGCGGTTCGTTTTTAGGCATTGAGCTCCATTTACTCCCATTCATTGAGGACTGGCTCGTGGACGCCCTCTGCTGTTTTGAAGTCCTGTTTTATATATAACGGGGGAAATAGGAAGTGGCCAGACTCCTCATAAACCGGCTCTGTTAACATCACATGCACAGACTCAAAAAGAAGGTCCTGATGTTTAGGCCTCAAATGATCTCAAAAATCAGCATCATACTGATGAAGATATGATGACAACAGTCGATAATTCACTCACATCCTCTGAAGACGCGTCCTTCCTTTTAACAGAGTTCTCTTTGAATTCTCTTTCAATCATCAGATTCAGCTTAGACTAGGGGAGGGGTCCGAAACACAACTCGCGCTACAGAATGTTCCTCCGTACACTGCGTGCAATTACACATTTCCACCAGAGAGGTCGCCAAATCTCCAAAATGTATATAGTGTAGCTTTAAATACTGTATCTGTGGGTTGAATAATGACTGAGCAGCTGCTGTGTTGTTTTTTAGGGGGAGGGTATCTTTCAGAGTTCTCTACTGGAAAAATTCCTTCCTTTGAAAAAAAAAACGCAAATGTCGACGCAAATATCATATTTAGTATTCAACATATACAGCACTGCTGCAGAGTCGGTGATGAACTTGAGCAGAATGGGCCGTTACCCAGTGTCTTTGTCTTTCAGTCCCTCTGGTTACAAGGAAAATGTTGATTGTCACTGTCATTATTATTCAGTGGACCCTGTTTTTTCCCCCCTTCATCTCCTTTTAAGTGTTTAATATAAAGTGCATCGAATCAAGAGTTCTAGTGTGTTAAAAATCACATCCCATTTTATTATCTATTAAAAATAACTGACTTGGTGTGAAAAGACCCGACAATGACTCAACACTGAACTAACATTAGTCTGGACCAGAGTTTCAGAGCAGAGATCGGAGCTCAGAACGCTTAACGCACGCAAAAAGGAAAGATCAATTCTGTCGTTACTGTAAATTACTGATAAATCAATAAGTGGTCCCAGCCTTACTTTCTGTGCTCTTCCCAAAAAACTGCAACTGAAATCATAGTAATAAGCAAACAAACAAACAAACACCCACTTCTGGTGACTTTCAGTAGGGAAGAAATGCATAATTTGACATGTCTCTGGGGTCAATAATCTAAAATCAATCAAAGAATAAAACAGAAAAGAAAGAAAGCGAACGAAACAGAAAACAGTGTTCAGTGTTGCAGACGCAGATGAACATTCACTCGTTTCTTTACTCAGTCCGTACAAAAAACATCAGGAGCATATTTAAACTCTGTGCCGGGTTGTTATAATGTTCTCTAACAGCAAGGCACAAGGATTGGATTCAAGTTTAACATTTATGAGTGCTTTATGCATCAAAACAAAGGGAGAAGGCGTCCTCCGAGTTCCTCCGGTATCGGATAATAACCCACGAACACGCAAAAGTACGCTCCATTTCACTCCATTTACTGTCAAAGTCCCTCCGACTGCCTCCGATCCGCTGCTTTACACGGAGCGCGAGGTTTAGTGCATCAAAACAGCCTCGGCTTTAATTGCACTGGGGCCTGAAACCACAACCTGGCCGAGTTTGGAGCCAAAACAGTCCAAATCTGTGATGTGCCATCAGTCTCGTCTCGTTTACAGGCCCGCCTGGCTGTGTTCCTGACCTCTGCCTGGAGCTTCTGTTATTAAACAGCTGTCAGGTGAACAGGGGATGACGAGAAGGATGAGTTTGATGGAAATGTCTGAGGAGAGATGAAGGAAATTTCCAGGAGAAAGATCTTTCCTTCAGGGCTCTGGGTTAACGGCTGGTGGTCATCGTGAAGTAATCCTGGACCGTGGAAAGACGCTGTCCAAACAACTGTAACATTATCTAGGCTAATGTTAGCAAAGTTGCCAACAGTGTGGTAAAAATAAAGAATATATTAGCTAGAACAAAAACTGACACCTAATCAGCATTAGCAAGTTAGCTAACATTAACTTACTCACTAATGTAAAAAAAAAAATAGAAAAACACAAAATTCTGTCGTATTGCACATCCCTAGTTGCTGTTGTGTCAGAAAATAACCGTCTGTAATTTAACTGTAATTATTTCTGACTGAAACAAATGAGGAGATTTGTGCTTAACATAATGAGCCAAGTTACCATTAGCAATGACATAAACAAAGCTAGCTAGCTAGCTAGCCAGTCATTAGCTAGAAGGACAAAACTGGCACCTAACCAACATTAGCATGTTAGCTAACATGAAATGTTAAAATGAAAATGCGACTGTTTTCGCTAACGTCACTGCAATTTAGCGCTAACTAATTCGCTAAGGAGTTAAAAAAGAGAAAAACACAAAATTCTGTCGTATTGCACATCCCTAGTTGCTGTTGTGTCAACAAATAACTGTCTGTAATTTAACTATAATTATTTCTGAATGAAACAAATGAGGAGATGTGTGTTTAACATAACTAGCCAAGTTACCAATAGCAATGACATAAACAAAGCTAGCTAGCTAGCTAGCTGGCTATCCATTATCATTCACTGGAAGGACAAAACCTTCACCTAACCAGCATTAGCAAGTTAGCTTACACTGTCTAGTCAAGTACCCAATAGCAATGATATAAACAAAGCTAGCTGTCTAGCTAGCCACTGTTATTAGCTAGAAGGACAAAACTGGTACCTAACCAGTTTATTAGCATGTTAGCTAACATTACCAAATGAAAATATGACTCTTTTAGTTAGTTTACTCTTTTACGAAATTTTGCACTATTTTGACGTTAAGCTGGTGAAAAGACTTGCATATGTTCACAGCTTTACCAATGACAAAAACAAAGCTAGCTAGCTAGGTAGCTGGCTAGCCACAGTCATTAGTTAGAAGGTTAAAACAAGCGCTTAGCCAGCATTAGTGAGCTTACTAATGAAACTGTGACTGTTTTAGGCCGCAGCTCCAGCTAACGTGACTGAAATCTAACACTACTTTGATGTGGAGCTGGTGGAAAGACTCTTGCCTACATTCATAAAAGGACAAATGCTAAAAGTGTATATGAGACAGTTTTCCGTAATTTCATTGGTGTTGCTCTTCACTGCCCGTGAGGAAAAACCTCGATGTTCAGTCAGTCGTCTGTTTGAAAGTGAGGGCTGCACATCAGATTTCTCGCTTTGGCTTCAGGCCCCAGAAGTCCACGTCCCAAAGCCCCGAGGGCTCAGTGTGCTGAGCTTCAGGAGTCGTGGTTGCGGTTAAACTGCTCCAGAACAGTGGAGTTGGTCCTTTCGAAAATCCACTGCTGGCTGGGTGAGCTGGAGTCACAGGAGTTCATGAAGACTCGTTTCTCTGTGGGGTTGTGGTCTATACAGCTGTTGCTGATGGGGTGGTACAGAGTCTTATCCTGCATGGAAACACAGGAGAGTGTAAGTAAGAGAAAGAGATTTCTGCCATCACTATTATATTTTTATTGTCCTTTTTAACCCTCAGACGTTGCTATTAGGTCACCATTGCGGCAACTGCAACCCTGCAGGTGGAAGAAGACCAAGCAAACTAGACCAGAAAGACCACGAAAAATGATGAAATGATGAAATGATGAATATATGTAGACATTTTAGATCCAGAAAACACTGCAAGGAGAAGTTTAGCCCAATGGGTGGATTGGATTCTTATAGTCTACACACTTCTCAAACTCAGACAATTCAAATGCGTGAGATTTTTTATTAGACAAGAAACTAATAAAAGTGACTAACAAAATTGCCAAAGCTCTTACATAAACACAATTAATCTGGATTTGGCTTCTTATTCGCCAGCTTTTTTTTTAACAGACTATTAGGAGCGCTAGTATGCGGTTTGGGACGATGCAGAAGTGATGCAGCCAGAAATCTCAGCCATTTAGATTTATCTAGTTCTATCACTACAGCAACAAATCAAATAAAATCAAGGCAATACAGTCAAATATGTTGGTTAATATATAATATTTAGTTTAGTCTAGTTAGTTTAATGTGCTAAACATATATAGTTTTTGATGGCAGTTTTTAAATGTGGCATGGCTAGAGCACTGTGTCTATCGTGATACGTATTGGGTATCGTGACAATATCTATTCATTGTATTCCGATGACAGTGCCCATCACACTGCCACCCTTTCAGTAGGCAACTTCATGCAGCACAGGGACAGTGTGTTATCAGATAACAAAGCCATAACTGATTCAGCGAAGGCCGTAAAACATGTTTTTCTGGGAACATTCAGTTTAAAACTAATTTTAAAGCGTATTAACTGATATATTTCAGTGTATTGCCTTGATTTTATTTGATTTGTTGTTGTAGTGATAACAAATGAAAGCTGAAATCTAAACGGCTGAGATTTCCTGCTGCGTCCCAAACCGCATACTAGCGCAGTTTGCAAAAAACAGTGCAGTAGCATTAGAAGTGCACTCATTAGTGTAGTAGGTGAAGTATAGAAGTTTTTTTGCAAACTGCGCCTGAATGGAACTGCTGCACCATTTAAGACGGAAAAGTTGAATAAGAACCTGGCAAATAAGTAGCCAACTTCAGCTTCATATACATATACATGTGTTCATTATTTAAGAGCTTTAGCAGCTTTGATAGCTGTTTTTATTTGCTGAATTTAACATACTGGTTTAACCTGTAAAAAGGTAGGTCACAGTTAATTTTTTAATTCTTTTCCAGTATGTTAAATTCATCAAATAAACAGTAATTTTGCATTAAGTGTGTAGAGGATGTGTTAACATATTTTCACTTAGAAAATCAACAAAACGTGGAATTTGAATGGGTACTTTTGAATATGACCGTACACCTTTTTTGACTACCCAGTTTTTTGAAAGGACAGGCATATAGAACATATGAGGCACAGACACGTAAACCACCTATAACTGATCATATTAGTCGTGTCCCGATTCAGTGGCTGCATCCTTTAGAGGCTGCATTTGAAGGCCGACTGCGTCACCACGGCGCGACGTTAAAAAAGCCAATGTGGTCTGAAGCAAAACTTACGCTAACGTTTCGTTTTGTTTTAGGGAGCAAAGAACCGACAGAGAGAAGCATCTCCAGCTCTAAGAAATGAAAGAATAACAACTCAAAATTTCTGGCTCCATCTTTAAAAAACTTTAAAAGAACTTGACAAGAGTGGCGTTTCGTGATGCAGTGGTAAGGCCGGGAACAGCAGCGCTGTGATATAAACAGGACATCCGCCGTAGGGCAGACCATCTAATTTCAGTCCAACCTTTGCGGGTCTAAGCAGCCTTCAAAAGACACGCCTTCGATGACCGCATCCTTCAAAGGATGCAGCCCCTGAATTGGGACACAGCTTTTGTGTTATGAAGTTATATATAATTATATATACACGTTCCAGATTACGTTTTTATCAGTAATTTGAGCTGGAATACATATTCAAAGTAACCCTCTTTACCTTCCTGTAGCGCCACAGCTGGTTTCCCTTCATGCCATGACAGTCGTACAGTGTAACCGGACTGTTGTGCGAAATGGCGTCAAAACACACTTTCTTAGTGTGGAGTGGATCACCGACCCTTATATCCTCCCTCCAGCCAAACGTAAACACCTGAAAAACAAAAATAAACACGCTAATTTTATAGGAAATTTTGATTTAAAGTAACATCACAGGCTAATACATTACTAAAGTCAATATAAACTAAACACTGATACCTTAAAACCATCTGCTTTGAAGTTTGAAGTATCACCATTTACATATAATATACAGCAGTGTGCAGAAGTCAGAGACCATCCTTCATTTATTCAGTCTAAACAGCCAAGTACAAGATATCCATTTTTCAGGAGAGATTTCTAAGGAGATTAGATACAAGATAATCCACTTGAATAAGGAAGGATCAAAGTGAGATTTGTGAAAAAAAGAGCTGAATCAAAGCTACAGAGATCCCTAACAACCACCTGGAAGACACCAAATCTGCCCCCATCAGATAAACAGCACTTAAAGCTTTCATCTTTGAGAGAGAGGAGAAAATCAAGCTGCTTCAGATCTGAAAACATCCACAGGTGTTTCTGTCCATCCTTCCACTGTGAGAAGACGACTCAGCGCTGTGGGTCTGAAAGGATGTGTAGCTGTCAAGAAGAACCTCACTGAGAAAAGGAGACGGACACATCAAACAAAGAAGCTGAACGATGGACTGACCACCCCAGAGTCCAGACCTCAACACCACTGAATGTGTTTGATTAGTTCAGAAAATCATCAACCAACTTATAAGGCCCAGTCCGATTTCTTATTTTTACCCCTACCCCTTGTTTTCGAGGGTCTCCTTGCCCCTTGGAACAGGGTGATAACGGGTAGTGGTTGAGATCTGCCCTCTGAAATGGGACCCTCAAATAAAAAGAGCATCACTTCATTAACAGCTACTAGAGCTGCTCTGTAGGCGACCCTGCCAGTCTGCAGTGACAGCAGAGGAGGGTAAAGTTCAGCTTCTCACTGCTGGGCTTTAGTTACATTTAGGGCATCACATGACTTCAAAGAGCGGGGCAATTATTTATCACCCACCCCTAATTCTTCAGTGATATGAAGCAGAAGTCAGATATTCACCAGCTTCTCGTTCTAATTTTCCCGTTCCACCTTAAATGGAGCAGCTGGTACATTCTGGCGCTTCAGGCATCAGAACTGCTGCACCATTTAAGGTGGAACGGGAAATTTAGCTAGCTAGCTACAGAGACATTAGCATACTACTAGTGATTCTTTATGCTTGTTATGAAGAAAACGACCATAATACACTGAAATGAAACACTGAAACATTAAACTAAGACAATACAGCGGTTATGGTAATTTTTTTAACTGAGAAAATTCTCACATTTGTGGGTTTCTTTGGTCTCTTGTTCTCCATCTTGCTGGTTTTTCTTTTTTTCTCATAACTCTCTGTTTGGAGTCTCTGAAAAACCTCCGTTTGGAGGGTCATGTAGCTCTAACACTTCACCCTGCCCCTCTATCTCAACAAGAATCGGGACACCCTACCCCTAGACGAGAATGCGCAGAACAGAAGGGTAGGGTTGAGTGTTGGGGCAAGGGGTTGGGGAAATGGGATTGGGCCTAAGACTGAACTTTGGAGGCGTGTCTGCAGATTCTTTGAGGAACTGAAAGTGAGTCTCCTGAAAAGAATGGAAGCTGGAATAAAGGGGAAGAGTGACTCACTGACACTAAACAGCTGAGATCACGACAATGAAAATGAATAATTCCATTATGAAACAGCTGTTTTTCACTTAATTAAATAAATGAAGGAGGGGTCTCTGACTTTTGCACAGTGGTGTACATAATAGTTGGCGCTTTTCCGTTGCACAAAGTATCGGAACCTTTTGGCACCAGAAAAGCGGAGCTGAGCTCGTTCCACCGAACACAGGTGAGTTACCTGTCCGTGATTCCAGGCTGCTTCTCCTCGTCCTTTCACACACGTCTCCACTCTGAGTGGAGAACCGGAGGAGAAGTGTTTACTCTCCATACAGAGGCCACTGCCCACGTTACGCAGCTGCACAACACAAACAGATACAGGTCACTTTTACACAGACAGCACATCAACTGATAAACACACCTCCCTCCTGAATAATGAGAATTTAATTATGGTAATTAATACACAATTATGCCATACAGAACTCCCTTCAGGAGAAGTGATAATGAGAATTTAATTAAAATAATTAATATTTATTTAAACCATACATACCTTCCTTTCAAAACAAGCAGAAATAGTTGTTATTTAAAGAACTGAATTAAAATAATGAATGAATATTTAATCAAAGCTATATGTGCCATCCAGAAGGAGAAATGATGAATATTAAATTTAAATGATTACTGAATATGTATTTGAAACAATTAATACATTTTTCATTAAAGTTGGAGGAGTAATAATGAATACATAATTAAAATAATTAATGAATAATTAATTAAAGCTGCAAATATCTCTCCTAGAAGGAGGAGTAATACCTACTATTTAAATAATTAATGAATATTTAATTAATGTCAGATGCATCGCCCCTAAAAAGAGGAGTAATAATCATTATTTAATAAAAATAATTAATGGATATTTATGTTGTTTCATCAAATGTTGTGCGCACCTCACCCCTGAATAATAGTTCAGATAAGTAATGAATATTTAATTTAAGCTGCACACACCTCCCTCTAGGAGAAGCAGTAATAATTAATATTTCATTAAAATAATTCATTTATCTTTGATTAACATTAAAGTTATATGTACCTGCTCCCAGGAGGGGGAGTAATAACAATATTTTAATTAAAACAACTGATGAATATTTAATTAAAACAATTAGTGAATGTTTAATTAATAATAAAATTTAACCTGAATTATTTATGAATATTTCATTAAACCCTCCCCTCCAGTGGAGGAGTAATAATGAATTTTAAATTAAAATAAGTAATGAATATTTAATTGAAGCTGTATGCCCCTCCCACAGAAGGAGTAATAATGAATTTTAATTAAAAGAAGTAATGAATATTTAATTAAAGCTGTATGTCCCTCCCATAGAAGGAGTAATAATGAATTTTAATTAAAATAAGTAATTAATACTTGATTAACGTGGTACGTACCTCGCCCCACGCTGCGGCCGGAGGCTCGACAGGTGGGTAGTGTTTGGGCAGGTCCCAGGCCACCTCCGTCATGAACCATTTAAAATTCTTACAGTTCAGCCTGGCTCTCAGCTCCTTCTGCGCAGTTACATCCCCTGCAGACAGGTGGCGATATTCCGGCCGCCGCTGGTAAATATATTCAGCGTATTCATCCATCCACACCTCCGCCACACGCTTGAGGTTCTGCGGAGAGAGAGAGACGGTACTGAGATTACAGACCACTGAAGCCGTGCGTCATTCTGTAGATGCTCATGTTTGGAACCTGATACGTTTTGTCCTGTGTACATTTTTCTCCCGTATATCACTGGATCAACTCTGAATTACGAAGTTCTTTAAGAGTCACTACATGCAAGCTAAAGCTGCTGTGCATCAATTTGACGTCACTAACCTACACAAAAGTGTAGTGAAAGGCGTTTGTGCTACCTCATTGAAATGTCCTACCATAGTGTATATTTACAATGTACATAAAAAAAAACCTCTAAGTAGAATATTGATAGCTTAAGCTCTTCAACTCCTTGAGACCACTGGTGGTTCCAAAACGCACTTCGTCACATTTTTCATAACTTTCATATTCCATAAGCTACATTCTAAAGGTGGGAGTCGTATGAGAGCTGTAACTGTCTTCTTTCCAGTCAAATAGATGGGTGATGTCATTTTAAACCCTTATAATAAAAGAAGCTGAACTCACAATTTTTTTGTTCTACTGAAAGTCGACCCATTTTTCCACAAATCTGGGCTATAAACTATAAACAGATGGCGTCTCTTCAGTGATCTGCTCTGTAAACATTATTTTTATAAAATAATACAAAGAGCGTCTAAGATTTTTGGCTTTCAGCAGTAAATTGTAAGCATATAGCAATATGTGTGATCATAAAACACATGTTCTGTTAATTTTTAGGGGAGCTTTTACAAAAAAATAAATAAAATAAAAATTTACGTCTATTTCATGCAGTTACTGAATAATTTGCCTTACGATTTGGTCATGTAAATTCAGATGGAAAACCAAAATATACTCCGGTGAATAAGAGGTTAACACTCCTTATCAAAGAATAGCACCAGCATTAAAACTATGAAGCTGAAGTCAGGTTCTTATTCGCCAGATTCTTGTTCATATTTTCCCGTTGCACCTTAAACGGTGCTGCCTACAAAAACTCCATTCATTCCTCTCACAGAGAAATTCCTTTTGGACCCAGAAGTCCTTATACGGGCATAAGAGCATGGCGCGACTACAAAATGACGACACAACTACAGTGGCCTATATCATTCACTAATCAGTCTGCCAGGCTCCGCCCACAAACATGTTGTTACTTGGCTGCTGTTGTGAGGTTGGACAAGCTTTACAAAACGCTGCTAAAAATCCCAAACCTAATGAGGAACTATAGAACAGACTCAGTTTATATCACAATACCTACATTTAGAGTCGGTTATTCACTCAGCCTAATGAGAAACTGTAGAACAGACTCAGTTTATATCACAATACCTACATTTAGAGTCAGTTATTCATTCAACCTAATGAGAAACTGTGGAACAGACTCAGTTTATATCACAATACCTACATTTAGAGTCGGTTATTCATTCAGCCTAATGAGAAACTGTAGAACAGACTCAGTTTATATCACAATACCTACATTTAGAGTCGGTTATTCATTCAACCTAATGAGAAACTGTAGAACAGACTCAGTTTATATCACAATACCTACATTTAGAGTCAGTTATTCATTCAGCCTGATGAGAAACTGTAGAACAGACTCAGTTTATATCACAATACCTACATTTAGAGTCAGTTATTCATTCAGCCTAATGAGAAACTGTAGAACAGACTCAGTTTATATCATAATACCTACATTTAGAGTCGGTTATTCATTCAGCCTAATGAGAAACTGTAGAACACTTTTTTTACTGTATAATGATTATATGATTACTAAATTAATGCTACAGTAAAAATGATGTTTAATTCTTCCTTTGAATTATCATCACATTATTACTCAAAGTATCTTATTAAAGGTTTTCACTATTTTCTATTGAAACAAGGATAACACATTCTGCTCTCTCTATTGCTGTCTCTCTCTCTTTATGTATCTATATCTATCTATCTATCTATCTATCTATATATATATATATATATATTTATATATTAAGAGAGAGAGAGAAAAAGTGACAGAAAGAGACAGAGTACATATAATAATACATTGAAACATAATACTATATAATACAGCATTTATTAAATTGAATTTTGCAGTAAAATTTGCATTTTTGCTAAAAAAAATGTATCACAATTATTATTTTTTGTATACTTCAAAACTTCCAACTACCTGAAGGTTTTTGGTATTTTAGTGTGGAACGCTGCTCTGTTGCCTCCTACGGTGAACAGACAGGAGTGTGTGGTGCTCGTGGGTGAAACTAGAACTAATTAATATGTGCAGGGTTAAATAAGGCCAGATTTACATCGCAGCAGTACCAACTCTGACCACCGGAGGCACTGCAGCACAAACATTAAACACGACAGCCCACACTACCATCACATTAAACCACACTCTGCTCTTTAAACCAGAGTTATTGTGTTTATTACTGTGTTTATTACTGTTTTTATTCACTGTGCTGCTGTAGATAAGAATGCTCATATTATTTTAATGAAGAGAATCCACAAGAGTGCGAGAGGAGGAAAGAGAAAGAGAGAAAGACAGATTATCATTGTTGTCATTGTTATTATAATTATTATTACTGTTGTATAGCTGCTGTTACCATTATCATTACTGTGAGGGGGAGAGAGAGAGAGAGAGAGAGAGAGAGAGAGAGAGAGAGACAGCCATAGGAAGAGAGAGAAAGAAACAGAGAAAACAGCGAGAGAAAGACAGAGAGAGAGAGAGAGAGAGAGAGAGAGAGAGAGAAAGAGAGAGATGGTGATACAGACAAAGAGAGAGAGAGAGAGAGAGAGACAGCAACAGAGAGGGACGAAGAGAGACAAAAAGAGAGAGTGATAGAGAGAGAGAGACAGTGATAGAGAGAGACAAAGAGAAAGACAGACAGCCATAGAGAGAGAAAGACAGCCATAGGGAGATAAAGACATTAATAGAGAGAAAACAGCGAGAGAAAGACAGAGAGAGAGAGAGAGAGAGAGAGAGAGAGAGAGAAAAGAGAGAGTGATAGAGAGAGACAGCAATAGAGAGACAAGGAGAGAGAGAGACACTGATAGAGAGAGGCAAAAAGAGTGATAGATAGAGTGATAGAGAGAGACAGCGATAGAGAGAGAGAGAGAGAGTGAGAGTTAAAGACAGAGAGAGAGTGATAGAGAAAGAGTGATAGAGAGAGACAGCAATAGAGAGAGAGAAAGAGAGAGAGTTAAAGACAGAGAGAGAGTGATAGAGAAAGAGTGATAGAGAGAGACAGCGATAGAGAGAGAGAAAGAGATAGAGACAGAGAGATAGAGAGTGATAGAGAGACAGCGATAGGGAGAGAGTGAGTGATGGAGAGAGAGTGAGTGATAGAGAGAGACAGCGATAGAGAGAGACGGAAAGAGATGGAGACAGAGATAGAGAGTAATAGAGACAGTGATAGAGAGAAACTGATAAAGAGAGAGAGAGAGAGAGAGAGAGTGAGAGTTAAAGTGAAAGTGTGATGATTTAGGTATGCAGTCAGCACGATGCTAATTGGTGGGGTACAAGCTTCTATTACTTAATTAGCCTCGTAGCTCCAGCGCTAACACTAAAGACACTAAACATGTCTTGGCTGATCAGCTACATTTGAGGTGGGGGGTGACCGAGGGGGGGGACTACTTTTCTGTCTGAACTATCGCTTTAAAGCTGAAGCAGACCTCCTGCTGATGGTGTCAGTCTAATCTGAGCGTGAGTGGGCCGGAGGGTCCTGCAGTAAAAGCTCCATTGAAAAAGGAATTTAATTCAGACAGATGCGTCCACAATGGACTCCATTAATTCCAAATTCATTAACATTCCTGCTGTATACAACTCCGAACCAAGCCGAGAGCCTCCTTCAGCACGGAGAAAGGAGCGCTTCCACAAAACTCCACTGTCATTTCACTTAAACCTCACAAACCTCCAGACTCTGCACTGAGCTATAGACACGATCAGCACGCTGAGCCTGAACACAACCAAACCTGCACTCAAACACACTTCATACAAAAATGCCATTTAAAATCAATAAACTATTCAGACTTTACATACTTACAAGGGTTATGTTCTATTTAAACACAAGTAGGGCTGGGCGATAAAACGATAACCATAATTATCGCGATATAAATTTCCTTGATAGAACGATTAGAAATGTTCGATAAATTTTCAATATAATAGACCGTTCTCACACTTCCACGTTCTAGCAACAGCTGTGGCGTTTTCTATTGTAAGGAAAGGACACTACTCTGCTGTCGCCAGGAGAGGGCGCACTTCCGAGTTTTTCGAAAGGATTAAAGAGGGAGGGGCGACGAGTAAAATGAGTCGCCAAATATACAGGGTGTATATGTGTGACATCATTTCGTAGTCTAATAACAGCCAATTCTCCCTCAAATGATCTCAAACTTTAACAGAATGTGTAAAAACTAAGTTTAATTCTGAATGTTTTTTTTTCAGGTGAAGAACGGCGTTTACTAGAAATGAAAAGGCATTTTGTGTGTTAGAATACGCTCGAACACAGTCAAACGAGAGCGTGCAGCGTGAATTTTGGAGAAAATTGAATAAAAATGCACCAACTGGAAAGCAGATTTGGACACGGCACAAAAAACTCAAAGAGGAAGGCTGTCTGTGCAGGACAAAGGGATCTGGACGACCACCAGTATCTGAAGATATTACATTTGTGAAGCTGTGAAATCAGTTATAAAATCTACATCCCTCTGAATTTCTTCGAATTTTGATAAATAAATCTTGTATTGTTCAACATGAAGGACATGTAGTTACTCAGATATTCACATCTCAAATGATGTCAATTTTTTCGGGACACCCTGTACTTTAGCCACGTCTGAAATGCGTAGTTATATATTCCCTGTTTGAGTGGAGCGACTGGCGATCTGTTCTCCTGTGACCGAGTGTGAGTGACGAGGTCAGTGGCGTATCTGTACTGTCCCACAGTGAACTCACCTCTTTCCTAACATCCTAACCAGCTTTAGCGGTGTTAAATCACGTCTGATCCTCACAACTACAGCACTGTTACAGCGCTCAGTCATATTTTAGTATTAGTGCATTCACAAGCAGTGAAAGTGAAAGAAAGAAGTGGTTCATGTAAATTACAGCCCTGATTTAAACGAAAGTAAACTGAGGAAGCTGTGAGGCGTTGGAGAGCGGGAGAGCGCTATCTTTCCAGGCTAGCTGTTTTTAGCAGCTGGCTAACTTGAAGCAGCTCCGTCACTCAAACAGCACAGCGAATTGATGATACTGTAGATCAAACAAGACACAAAAGCACCGATTTCAGTTTAAACAGACCTAAAAGTCGGACTCTGTTTGTCTGGTGTTGATATATTGCTGTTCACCCCTCAAACTACTATAGAGAAGCCCAGTCTTCTGCTAGCTGCTGTCTGAATACTGAGATATGCTCTGATGTGGATGTGGTGGAGTGACGGCAGTAAGGCGGTGTGATCATCACTGACCTACTGAGTCAGCTAATGTTTGCTGTTCGTACTAAGTTGACGTTGTTGAGAAACTGAACAGTTTAGCACTGTTGTTGGCCGCTTGTTCAGTATTTGTAACGGGGTAGCCGAGCGCTCGTCACCAGACAGCTAAAATAATCTGTTTTCGTTCTTAAGTTATAACTGCAGCTGTGCTTTTCCAGCTGATAAAAACAGCCGACCAGACACTTTCTCCCACTCTCCCATGACAGATCTGTGAAACGTTCCACTGTTTGGTGAGTGTTTATCATGTTCTGACCATAAAGGATAGTTTAAAACAGCAACTGACCACCCAGGAGCAAAAATCAGCCTTCAAACTTGAAAAAACTATACGAATTTTGTTTATCGTCATAACATTTTGGCCATATCGCCCAGCTCTAAACACAAGGCATTAATAAAAATAGTAATAAGCTAAGCTCTCTCGTTCTCTGGCCGCTATCATAAATGCTAATATCGTTAGCTTCTTATAGCTTATGTCTCCTTATGCTGAACTCATCATATGCATGTAATATGCATGTAATTTAAAGAGTATTAAGAATATACATGTAATTTAAATATTCAATATTAGTCATTAAATTGAATAATTATCCATTTAAAACAAAAATAAACTCACCCTGGCGAGACTGACCCCTCCGGGTACTTTGTAGGGGACGTACTTCCTGTAAATGTGGCCGACCCGAGAGCAGGGGATATCCTCCATCCTCCCACCGCACATCCACACCTGCAGGGGCCAGAACACACAGTGTGAACACAAAAACACTGCAAAAAAAAGGAACAGAATAGAGAACAGAAAATATGATAAGACAATAGAATAGAATAGAACAGAATAGAATAGAATAGAATAGAATAGAACAGGATAGAACAGACCAGAAATGACAAGGGAATGGAACTGAATAGAACAGAACAGAACTTTAAACACTGGTAAATGTCGGTGTTCCTCAAGTTCTTTATGTTAGTTCTTTAGAGAGAGTTCTTTCTGTAGGCTGATCTCAGAGGGGGAACCTCTCAGTCTGGAGCCGTTTCTCTCACAGTGCTGTCACAGAGCCTGTATTTACTGATGAATCATGGACTCAGAGGTGAGCCCACCGGCCCCCTTCTGACAGAATACTTCACCAAAGAGAGAATGACAGTCTGAGAACTGTCTGATTGAAGTAGCTCACACTCGGACTGACATTTTGTTTCTGAATGTAATACATTTTTACTATGGCACAAATGTCCGAATACTTTCAGGGGCCTCTGTGTGTAGAAATGTGCATTAAACTGTGTGTGCAGAGGTGACAGTTTGACATGACGCAGCATACAGCAGTCATACAGGACAGGAAGTGTGGAAATTTAATAAAACTAAAAGAAAGACTAAACACAGTGAACAGTCTCGTTTCAGGAACAAAAGCCTGCATGTGTGTGGGCACTGAACCGGTCAGAGAGAGAACGGCTCTCTGTTTCTGTTTAGAGGGAGTGAAGAATGTGGACGTGTAAATAAACCTGCAGTGCATGAATGATTAATACAGTTCAGAGTGAGCAGAAACAACAGCAAAACATTAAAAATACATCACAGCAGAGAGAGGAAGAGGAGGAGGAAGAGGAGGAGGAGGAAGATTACAGCAGTTTAGTTCCACCATTCAGCTACAGCAGTTTAGCTCCACCATTCAGCTACAGCAGTTTAGCTCCACCATTCAGCTACAGCAGTTTAGCTCCACCCATTCAGCCTACAGCAGTTTAGCTCCACCCATTCAGCCTTCAGCCTACAGCAGTTTAGCTCCACCCATTCAGCCTACAGCAGTTTAGCTCCACCCATTCAGCCTACAGCAGTTTAGCTCCACCCATTCAGCCTACAGCAGTTTAGCTCCACCCATTCAGCCTTCAGCCTACAGCAGTTTAGCTCCACCATTCAGCTACAGCAGTTTAGCTCCATCATTCAGTGTACAGCAGTTTAGCTCCACCCATTCAGCCTACAGCAGTTTAGCTCCACCCATTCAGCCTTCAGCCTACAGCAGTTTAGCTCCACCCATTCAGCCTACAGCAGTTTAGCTCCACCCATTCAGCCTACAGCAGTTTAGCTCCACCCATTCAGCCTACAGCAGTTTAGCTCCACCCATTCAGCCTTCAGCCTACAGCAGTTTAGCTCCACCATTCAGCTATAGCAGTTTAGCTCCACCATTCAGCTACAGCAGTTTAGCTCCACCCATTCAGCCTACAGCAGTTTAGCTCCACCCATTCAGCCTACAGTAGTTTAGCTCCACCATTCAGCTATAGCAGTTTAGCCCCACCCATTCAGCCTTCAGCCTACAGCAGTTTAGCTCCACCCATTCAGCTACAGCAGTTTAGCTCCACCATTCAGCTACAGCAGATTAGCTCCACCATTCAGCTACAGCAGATTAGCTCCACCATTCAGCTACAGCAGTTTAGCTCCACCATTCAGCTACAGCAGTTTAGCTCCACCATTCAGCTACAGCAGATTAGCTCCACCATTCAGCTACAGCAGTTTAGCTCCACCATTCAGCTACAGCCGTTTAGCCCCACCCATTCAGTCTACAGCAGTTTAGCTCCACCCATTCAGCCTACAGCAGTTTAGCTCCACCCATTCAGCCTACAGCAGTTTAGCTCCACCCATTCAGCCTTCAGCCTACAGCAGTTTAGCTCCACCATTCAGTCTACAGCAGTTTAGCCCCGCCCATCCAGCTTACAGTAGCAGTTTAGCCCCACCCATTCAGCCTACGTCAGTTTAGCTCCACCCATTCAGCTACAGCAGTTTAGCTCCACCATTCAGTCTACAGCAGTTTAGCTCCATCATTCAGCCTTCAGCCTACAGCAGTTTAGCTCCACCATTCAGCTATAGCAGTTTAGCTCCACCCATTCAGTCTACAGCAGTTTAGCCCCGCCCATCCAGCCTACAGTAGCAGTTAAGCCCCACCCATTCAGCCTACAGTAGCAGTTTAGCCCCACCCATTCAGCCTACGGCAGTTTAGCTCCACCCATTCAGCCTACGGCAGTTTAGCTCCACCATTCAGCCTACAGCAGTTTAGCCCCACCATTCAGCCTACGGCAGTTTAGCTCCACCCATTCAGCCTACGGCAGTTTAGCTCCACCATTCAGCTACAGCAGTTTAGCTCCACCATTCAGCCTACAGCAGTTTAGCCCCACCCATTCAGCCTACGGCAGTTTAGCTCCACCCATTCAGCCTACGGCAGTTTAGCTCCACCATTCAGCCTACAGCAGTTTAGCTCCACCATTCAGCCTACAGCAGTTTAGCCCCACCATTCAGTCTACAGCAGTTTAGCCCCACCATTCAGCCTACAGCAGTTTAGCTCCATCATTCAGTGTACAGCAGTTTAGCCCCACCATTCAGTCTACAGCAGTTTAGCTCCACCATTCAGCTACAGCAGTTTAGCTCCACCATTCAGCTACAGCAGTTTAGCCCCGCCCATCCAGCCTACAGTAGCAGTTTAGCTTCGCCATTCAGCCTACAGCAGTTTAGCCCCACCCATTCAGCCTACAGCAGTTTAGCTCCACCCATTCAGTCTACAGCAGTTTAGCCCCACCCATTCAGCTACAGCAGTTTAGCTCCACCATTCAGTCTACAGCAGTTTAGTCCCGCCCATCCAGCCTACAGTAGCAGTTTAGCTTCACCATTCAGCCTACAGCAGTTTGCCCCCGCCCATTCAGCCTACAGCAGCAGTTTAGCTCCGCCCACACAGCCTACGGCAGTTTAGCTCCACCCATTCAGCCTACGGCAGTTTGGCCCCTACCGATGCCATAAGCAACAGTTATTGCTTTCTGAGCTCATGTTGCCAGGAAAAGTTCACAAAAATCATGTAGGACAAAGAAAATAAAAAAAAAGTGTTTGTTGTGGTAGATATCATCAGGTATACAGTAATTACTTCACTGACATCTAAGTAAATTGCACAAATGAAGGAAAGACTTACACATACACTACTCCATCCAATCACTTTACACCAGGAATCTTCACACAGTCAGACCTGCTGATCTGTTTCAGAGACGCTAAAACCGAAGCCACACGCAGAGTTTAAATTACAGTGAATGAGCTCCAGTTTTAGAGCTGAGTCTCTCTCTAGGAAATAACTTAAGCTCATATTAGCTCACTTTTCCAACAGAATAATTAATTAGACTGATGTACTGAGCCCACTGAGGGTCTTCACCAAATCAAAAGAAGATTTTTGATCTTCCACTCGGGGAGACTCCATTACACCCTCACACCTGGGGCCAGCGTTCTGAACCGAACTCCGCTAATTTAACTTCTGGACTCCTGAAAAGTGAGAAAAACCTGCTTCATCCCTTTTTACCCCAAAATAGTAGACCAGCCAACTGGTTTTAGCACTGGAGGTATGAAGCTGATGTAGCTAACAAGTAAAAAATAATAACTTCTGAATATTTTTGTATGTTTGTTCATTTTGGATAGTTTTTTAAAATCAAAATATTGGTATCACTTTAATTGGACAGCCCCAGTAGATTATCTACAGATTTTCAAATTATTAACAGACCATCCAGTGAAAGGCCACTGCACACCGGATGTGCCACGCAGCTCTGCATCGTGTGATGTAGCGTCACACAGCAGAGAGCAGCTATAGAACACCAGCAGCCAGAGAACCGATTCTGGTTCTTATAATAAAATAGTTTGTTGAAAACAGTAATAACAGAACTAGTGATGCACCAAAATGAAAAGTATTGATCGCAAGCGAAATGAAAATCCAGGATACACTCAGCCAAAAACCAAACTGCTATAATGATGAAAAACATCTTGTTTTTTAATGTGTAAAGGGGGGGAACATGGCTTCAGTCTGACGTTTCTGTAAGGGGTGCGATTAGCAGGCAAGTCGCTTTAACAGTCATCATTTAGAGCAGAAACAGCCATGAACCCACACCAGCAGGGTCAACCAACTCACCTGTGTACAGTAAAAGCATGTATTCCCTGTTGATCTGCTGCCCAAACTGAACAGGTCTGAGACGACTGACGCAGAAAACTAACAGCAGGTTATATCAATATTTCTCATTTTGGTGACACTTTATTCTGAGTGGTCGTTTTAGAGGAAACACTCAACGGACTATTAGTAACATGTCAATAAACACATGAGGGTTAGGATTAGGTTTTGGGTTGAGGTTAAGGTTAGGATTAGGGCCAGGATGAGGGTTAGGATTAGGTTTTGGGTTGAGGTTAAGGTTAGGATTAGGGCCAGGGTGAGGGTTAGGATTAGGTTTTGGGTTGAGGTTAAGGTTAGGATTAGGGCCAGGGTGAGGGTTAGGATTAGGTTTTGGGTTGATGTTAAGGTTAGGATAAGGGCCAGGGTGAGGGTTAGGATTAGGTTTTGGGTTGAGGTTAAGGTTAGGATTAGGGCCAGGGTGAGGGTTAGGATTAGGTTTTGGGTTGAGGTTAAGGTTAGGAATAGGGCCAGGATGAGTGTTAGGATTAGGTTTTAGGTTGAGGTTAAGGTTAGGATTAGGGCCAGGGTGAGGGTTAGGATTAGGTTTTGAGTTGAGGTTAAGGTTAGGGTTGGGATTAGTGCCAGGGTGAGGGTTAGGATTAGGTTTTGGGTTGAGGTTACAGTTAGGATTAGGGCCAGGGTGAGGGTTAGGATTAGGTTTTGGGTTAAGGTTAGGGTTAGGATTAGGTTTTGGGTTGAGGTTAAGATTAGGATTAGGGCCAGGGTGAGGGTTAGGATTAGGTTTTGGGTTGAGGTTAAGATTAGGATTAGGGCCAGGGTGAGGGTTAGGATTGCATTTTGTAAGGTTAGGTTTTGTGTAATGGAAGTAACATATTAACAACACATCTACTTAATGTAAGTAATGTATCAACAGAACATCTACAAGACTCCAAATAAAGTTACCCTCATTTTTTATGATCATTCAACCATTCAAATTCTCTGTAAAGTGTTTTAGACACTTTGTAGTAAATATATTTAAACTTCAGCTTTTCTAAGATAAACCTCGCAGCCTTTTTTCCCCTCTTTCAGCTGAAACTTTTCAGTGGCTGAAATTTCGGTGCATCCATAAAGTAAACTCAGAAAATTCTTAGGAATCCACAACAAAGGTCCAGGATTCTAGTGGGGTCTAAAGCGCAAATGTTGAAGCTTCTGATCACTACACTGTAAAAAACAATGGCTCGTCAATTCAACCTAAAAACTTTTACTTCATGTGGTAAATTAAAGGAAATTAACTAGTTTTATTCAACCTAAATAAATACTAAACGATTCTTTCAACCAATGTTATTTTTTTGAGTGGTTAAGGTTAGGATTAGGGCCAGGGTGAGGGTTAGGATTACGTTTTGGGTTGAGATTAAGGTTACGGTTAGGATTAGGGCCAGGGGTAGGATTAGGTCGAAGCTTCTGATCACTACACTGTAAAAAATTGGCTCGTCAATACAACCTAAAAAATTACTTCATGTGGTAAATTAAAGGAAATTAACTAGTTTTATTCAACCGAAATACTTTGAGTGAACGATTCTTTCAACCGATGTCATTTTTTGAGGTGAATAAAACTAGTTCAATTACTTGTTACTACATGAACTAATTTTTTTAGGTTGATCTGAGGAGCCATTTTTTACGGTGTATATAAAGGAAACAAAACCAACATAATGAACAGATACTCGAATACTTAAATTATTCAGATCAGCCCTAAAATTGTTTTCAATAATCACTTTTATCCATTATTATTAACTCCTGCAGGAAAAGCTGCTGATGCATTATCAGTGAAAGCACTGTGGAAAACATCATTCTGTCATTTTCATGTTGAAATGTGCCAGGAGTGTCTGTTTTATCTCAACATGATATTCCACTACTGTTCGTGTGCATGTGTGCAGATTACATCAGCCAGAGCTGAGCTGGTCAGTCAGAGCGGTGGTCAGATGGTGGTCAGGGTAATGAATATTACGTGGTGCTGAGCGTCTGGATCTGAATGGTATTTTATTCTGTAAAGCGGAGCTGCAGTGAAAGCTGGCAGATTCTCACAGTGCCGCTCGTCTGTCTCTTTCATATTACTGACCCTACAATAGCCTCCCTCACGCCAGCTGCCATGGCAACCGCTCGGTCAAACACACGCCGGCTCTGAACGGGGAATGTACAGAGTATAATTACTTCATCAGTACGGCATATTGATCTTTACAATACAGATACTGCAGCACACCGCAATATGGAAATGAGCCCTACATAAAATCATCTAATAAGCCATCTTCACTGTGTGCTGGGAGCATCTGACCACATCTGATGAACCAGCACATGTTTTTCTAACACACATTTAAAGAATTATGGTAAAAATAATGCGGCCAGATCTTTAATCATGTGACATTATGGATTCATCAATGTGTTTTTCATGTTTTGCATGATCACAATTTAGCAAAATAATCAGAATGTGATATTTTTAGCAACATAAACTCAAATTGAAATTAGGCCTCAGCTATTCGGTTAAACTTTTGCCAGCAAATGATATCTCAATATTCACGCATTCATTTGGAAATGGACTAAAAAAAGAGGTCTTCCTTTAGAAATGGCTTAGAAGAGTGAATTTACTTTCTTTACAAAACCATTTTACTTTCTTAAAATGCTTAAAAGAACATTTGGTAAAATTTTCTATGAATGTCACATTTGTAAGCATCTATAAACACAATTATAACATGTTACAATGCATTCATAAGACATTATAAACATGGTTATAAATATTTATAAAAATTAGTTACACTGAATTACACTTTATAGCCATGTTTATTATACATTATGAATTGTTAATATAATGCATTATAAGTAGTGTTGATAACATGTTATACTGTCAGTGCCAAAGAAGTCAGTCCCAGCCTGGAGAGCGTAAAGTAAAGACAAATACAAAGTTTATTTATGTCCTGAGATTTCCAGTATTTTATTTCTCCCCGCTGGTGCTGTTTGGGCTGCATTTTCGGGGCTTCAGTCCTGAATATTCAGATGCTCCAAACAGGCTGTCCAGCCTAGAATCACTGCTACAGTGAGCTTTTCTTACCCAGCGTCTCACTTTAAATGTTACATTACATCATAGCAAACCAAGTACCCATCAGCCCCTACCCGTGAAGTCACGGTGGAGTGAAGGCCTGGAGAGGGAGAGGCGAGATAGTAGAGCGCTGTCACTGTAATTTGTTCCCTCACTGGTTCTAACGTCAAGTGCTAGAACCCTTCACTCTGTAACACTACAGTACAGTAATGCTAATTTCTGCTAGCGTTCTATTGGATATGCAGTGTTAAGTTAGTGCCAGGCTAACTTTCCCACATTGGGTAAAACACTGATGGCAGCTCTAGTTTAAACTCTGACATTTGAAGCCTGTAATGTGCTTTACTGTGAATGTTTTAGTGTTTCAGTAAATCCTTCAGTAAATACTTCAACTTGAAGCCTCACTCTGAACACTGGAGGAGGCTTTAGTACAGTACGCTTCACTTTACTTAGAGCGGACAAATACCACTTATGAGCTCTTATAATTTGTTATGAACAGTACTTATAATGCATTATGTTAACAATTCATAATGCGTAATAAGCAAGGCTATAACGTGTAATTTATTTTTTATAAATATTTATAGCCATGTTTATGATGCCTTATGAATGCATTATAACATGTTATGAATGTGTTTATAGATGCTTACAAAGGTAACATTCATAGAAAGTGTGACCGAATGTTTTATTTCTTTCTGAAAAGGCTTAAGAGTATTTTTCCTTTCAAGGATGACTTTTAAGGAGCTGGCTTTCTGAAATGAATTAAAAGAGTGATTTTCATTTCAGAAATTGATCAAAAGAGAGCTCATTATTTTAGAAATGGGTTAAAAGGGTTAAAAGAATTGTTTTATTTCAGACATGACTTTAAAGAGTCATAATGTGGACTAAAAAGCCTTTATTAAATGCAAAAACACTCAGAAGTTAACAAAGTGTCACCAAATATATTCAAAAACATAACTGCAATAAGAGCTAAAGGACAGCAAAAATAATCAAGGTCTGTTTGTGGATCATATGAACATTATAGAGCTTTTTAAATGAAACAGTAGAAGCCATATCACCCCCTACACTTCCTGTAGTGTATTACAGTCTGTCAGAGTGACTGTGTGGATCATATGAACATTATAGAGCTTTTAAATAAAACAGTAGAAGCCATATCGCCCCCTACACTTCCTGTAGTGTATTACAGTCTGTCAGAATGACTGTGTGGATCATATGAACATTATAGAGCTTTTAAATAAAACAGTAGAAGCCATATCGCCCCCTACACTTCCTGTAGTGTATTACAGTCTGTCAGAGTGACTGTGTGGATCATATGAACATTACAGAGGCTTTTTAAAAGAAACAATAGAAGCCATATCGCCCCCTATGCTTCCTGTAGGGTATTACAGTCCGTCAGAATGACTGTGTGGATCATATGAACATTATAGAGTGCTTTAATGAAACAGTAGAAGCCATATCGCCCCCTATGCTTCCTGTAGTGTATTACAGTCTGTCAGAATGACTGTTTAAGCACATAAACTTAAATTTTTCCCATAACTAAAAGTTGTTGACTGTACACTAGTTGTTGCAAGCTTACTTGGACTTTATGTAAACATACCTTAAACGATATTTCATACTGCTCTCCGCCCCAAATCTCCAGCCCCGTGTCATATCCTCCCAGCTCCCAAAACCACTTCCTGTCCACCGCAAACAAACCTCCAGCCATCACAGGAGACCTGAAAACACAGACACAATACAGCGGTCATTCAAATACATTACAATAAAAAGCCTCTTAGCTTTAAAACACTCAAAACAAAATATCCTGATTGTTCAGAACTACTCTAGGACATTTCTACAGTACTGTACAAAAGTCAAAAGACCCTCTTCGTTTATTTAATATCCAGTCTACACAGCTATTAAACACAAGATATTCACTTTTCAGGAGATACATACTCAGAAAATGGCTAAAGGAAACAGTTAAACAGTTGAAAATGCTCATTTCCACTATCAGGGCAATAATTATGAGGTTTAAAGCAGCTGGAGATGCAGTGAGGAGGAGGGTTTGGGTGGCCAAAAGAATCTACAAAGATCACAGAGGGGGAAATGGAGACATTAGTTAGGTCTTGTGGTCAGAATGTCTCTCAAACTACAATCAGACGGCACCCACAGGGTGGAGGGTTTCCAGAAGAAGGCCTCTGCTGCCAAAGACCAACAAACTTAAGCTCCTACAATTTGATAGACGTTGCTGGAACTTTCAGTGGGACTGTGTTGGTCAAATGAGACCAAAATAGAGCTATTTGGCAACAAACCCCAGAAGGGGGTTCGGCATGGTCCCAAAACTAGCCATGCAGAAAAGTTCCTCACCCCCACAGGGAGGTGTGGTGGTGGATCTGTGACACTGTGGGGCTGTTCTTCTTCTAAAAGCCCTGGACAATTTATTCACATACACGGTATCACAGACTCCATCAATTACCAGCAGATATTAAACCAAAACCTGACTGCCTCAGCCTGGAAGCTCAAACTGGGCCATAGTCTGGATCTTCCAGCAGGACAATGATCCAAAACACACCTTAAAATCAACACTAAAGTGGTTCGCTGACCACAGAATTAAGGTTTTGCCATGGCCACCCCAGCACCCTGACCTGAACCCCATAGAAAACCTGAGGGATGAGCTGAAGAGGAGAGTCCACAGTGTGGAGCTCAGAATCTGATGGATCTGGAGAGGTTCTGTATGGAGGAACGGGCTCAGATTGAATGTCATGTGTTCTCCAGTTCCATTAAACGTTATAGGAGAGACTCAGAGCTGTTATGTTTGCAAAGTGAGGCTGCACAAAGTAATAAATGAAGGGGTGCCAACAGTTGTGACACACAGATTTGAGAAAAATATTTCATGATAAGGGTTATGTTTTTTTTTCTTTTAATCATTGTGCTTCAAATAAAGGCTGGAGTTTTGTTAATATTTTGAATGAAAGATCAAAAGGATGACTAATCATCTTTTTTCTTGTAATTAAAATTGAACTAAATGAACAAAAATGAACTGAATTGAACTGAAATGAATTAAACTGAGCTTATCAAAGCTGAAATGAGCTGAGGTGAACTGAAGTGAGCTGAGTCACAGTGAGCTGAGCTGAAAGTGAACAGTTTAAATTCGTTTACAGTGATCGCGAGTTCACTAAAAGTGTTTCATTAAGCTGTAAATGAAGAGCCTGTAGCGCTGCGCTATCCTCGGAGATTACATAAGACTGTGAACCAGCCGAGCCGAGGAGGAACCCGGAGCTGGAAGCAGAATGTAATGAGCGGCGTGTGCGCTCACTGAGAGAACATAATTACCCTTCCAGCAGGCTAACGCTAACGTCAGGGAACAAACTCAGCAAATTTCAGCCAAAATTATTCATCCTGCGCGCAACACAAACACAAAACCCAACCCACATATTTAATCACACACTTCTCAGTGTGGAAAAACTTTTCTGCTGAAAAAATAAAAATCAGCCGTTGTAAACACTCCATTAGCCTGATGAAGGCGAATTATCAGACGGTAATGAACTCCTCAGCGCTAATGAAACGCAGAACAGCCTGCGGCTCTTTTCTCTTTTAGCATTCCCCTAAAAAAGCTGACGTTCCGCCCCGTTCCACATCCAGCTCTTTTTCTCCTGAAGACCAACCTTTTCTCTCCGGTCTGTTTTGCCTCTTTTCACAGATACTATTCGTAAAACCCTGAAGTGTCCCACGGCCGTGTCGGTGACATTCCGTCAGCATCGTGTGTGCGAGCCGTCAATGACGGCTACGACTTCCCAATCAAGATATCAAGAAAAAGTCAGTTTGACTGGAGATGTTGATCCAGACCAAATCAGTCAGTTATATTTGAGTCCTGATTATGCGTTATTACCCACGATAACATATACAGACATCTATAATTACTACTGCATCAACGTACACACACTGAGTTAACAGCATACAAATCACAGGGTTGCCAGCTTTGGTGAGATGAGTGAGATTTTCAGGTGGCTGGAGTGAGTCTGGAGTGAGATTCCCAGGTGGCTGGAGTGAGATTTTCAGGTGCCTGGTGTGAGATTTTCAGGTGGTTGGAATGAGTCTGGAGTGAGATTTTCAGGTGGCTGAAGTGAGTCTGGAGTGAGATTTTCAGGTGGCTGGAGTGAGTCTGGAGTGAGATTCCCAGGTGGCTGGAGTGAGATTTTCAGGTGGCTGGTGTGAGATTCCCAGGTGGCTGGAGCGAGCCTGGAGTGAGATTTTCAGGTGGCTGGAGTGAGTCTGGAGTGAGATTTTCAGGTGGCTGGAGTGAGATTTTCAGGTGGCTGGGGTGAGATTCCCAGGTGGCTGGGGTGAGGCTGGAGTGAGATTTTCAGGTGGCTGGAGTGAGGCTGGAGTGAGATTGTCAGGTGGCTGGAGTGAGTCTGGAGTGAGATTTTCAATTTTGCACACACAGGTGTGCATCCGCTGTTACACTGCTTAAAACACTCATTTGAACCACAGCTCATAGCCATTAGCCGCAGAGGGACCCCAGCTGGTCCACGGTTTTGAACTAATGCAGCTCCCAGCACCTAAATAAGGCCGGCAAGAACACTAAACACCTGGTACAGTTAAAGGGGTAAAACTGTATTCTGAGGCTTTAAACGGTTTTCAAACACCATCAGCTGTTTCTTCAAATATAACTGAGGGGACAGAGTTAAACGCTGTTTACTGTGATTGTGTTTATTGTAATAAAGCACTGAAATGAATTTTCCCTCACTCTTTCCACTGAGAAGCTTTTTCTTTATTCTCCAGTCTTCTTACTTAATCATTAATCTGTTGTAGAACACCTTAAATAAAACCAGTTAAACTGATTATTACCACAGTAAGTCATTTTGGCCCCCGGTGTTTCTGTACTGTGTACCAGTGAAACACTGTTATGTGGCTCTGCAGCAGCTCTGAGCTGAGGAGGCCTGAGGAGGTGAAATTAAAAGCTCAATTTACACAAAGTTCAGCAGAATATAACACTTAGTTCAGCTGAACACAACTTTACAGTTTAGCTGAACACAACTTTACAGTTTAGCTGAACACAACTTTACAGTTCAGCCAAATACAACTTCACAGTTTAACTGAACACAAGCTTACAGTTTAGCCAAATATAACATTACAGTTTAGCCAAACACAACTTTACAGTTTAGCCAAACACAACTTTACAGTTTAGCCAAATATAACATTACAGTTTAGCCAAACACAACTTTACAGTTTAGCCAAATATAACATTACAGTTTAGCCAAACACAACTTTACAGTTTAGCCAAATATAACATTACAGTTTAGCTGAACACAACTTTACAGTTTAGCTGAATCCAATGCTACAGTTTAACAGTGAATAAAATGCTAGAGTTTAGCTGAACAGCTACACTGTAAAAATTGGTCCGTCAGTTCAACCTAAGAAAAAATACTTCATGTGGTAACAAGCAATTATTATTGTAAAATGGAATATTATTTCAGAGAACAGCTACGAAGTGAAAAAGAGAACCGAAAATGAATGCCGAGGTAAAAACAAATAGGAGTAGAGACGGAAACAGAGGAACAATTAGGCCTAAAGGTAAAGCAGCCAGTTGGAATTAGTTTGTCTTCAAAGTTTCAAAGCTAAAACAACCAACAATACTGTGCGAGTTACGATGTGGCACTGAGTTAAAGGTGTAAACAACAGCAGCCTGTTAGACCCGAACAGAGAAACCATCAAACTCAGCCTGTGCAGGAAAATCACAGTTATACAAACTGTGTTTCCATAATGTTACGTAACTCATGAACTTTGAAAGCTCATCATTTTTATTAAAATGCATAATGAATATTAGCAGTGAGACGAAAGACTGACAGAATGTTAAAAAATGTGCAACAATCAACTCAGATCAACAGAACATCCGTCTGTAGACCTGCAGAAAGCTTTTAAAGTATCTCTAAATGTCTGCTTCAGTTCTATATGTGTTACATATAATTTCTTTGATTGCTTTATTGGGTATAAGTGTGAGTTATTTCCATCCCGTCAATGTCAGCTTCCATCATTTCGAACGTTTCTGCTGTCAGACGTACTTTAGTAAATTGCTGTAATTTCAGAGCTGTTAAGTGTCTGGAAACTTGAATAATGTTGACATAAATCTCCTCCACTCGTCACTGTCTGCTTTCCATCACCGCAGTCTGCCTCAGCACAGCGTTCGGCGGCCAAGACCAAACATCTGCACCACTTATAAACACTACTGGGGTCTGGCATGAAGTATAAAATGACACCTATTTTATCCCAGTTTTCCCTAATTTGGGGTAAAACAACATTTACTCCTTGTAAATCTGATTCAAAACGTGGGCACAGAAGTGTTTACAGAAAGTGTCTGACCTTTACGCTGATGGGATCCATCTTTTGAAGATCTTACAGAAAAAGTTGACTAACTTCATCAGATATTTGCATGTATGTAGTTTTCTAAGCTCTGAAACAGATTCCTTACAAAGCCCACCTTCATCCGCTGTTGATCTAATGGCAGTAAATGACCTCTGCTCAAAAAATCTAATTACAAAAAAAAACTCATCTACAACCCCATTTCCAAAAAAGTTGGGACGCTGTGCAAAATGCAAATAAATACAAAATGCAATCATGTGCAAATCATTTAAACCATATATTTCACTGAAAATACTACAAAGACAACATATCAAATGTTGAAACTGAGAAATTTAATTGTTTTTTGAAAAATATTTGCCCATTTTAAATTTGATGCCAACAACACGTTGCAAAAAAGTTGGGACGGGGGCCTGTTTACCACTGTGATTCATCAGCTCTTCTTTAACAACACTCTGTAAGTGTTTGGGAACTGAGGAGACACTGCTGTAGTTTAGAAACTGAAATGTTTTCCATTCTTATTTGATATAAGATTTCAGCTGGTCGTCAGTTCGGGGTCTCCTTTGTCATATTTTTCATTTCATAATGCGCCAAATGTTACCAGTGATGACAGGTCTGGACTGCAGACAGGTCAGTTTAGCGTCCGGACTCTTTTAATACGGAGTCATGCTGCTGTAATACAGGCAGATTGTGGTTTGATATTGTCTTGATGAAATAAGCAAGACCTTCCCTGAAAAAGACGTCGTCTGGATATATGTATATATGTATATATGGTTCAGCATTAATGGAGCCTTCACAGATGACCGCCCATGCCATGTGCACCAATGCCTCCCTACACCATCATGAATACTGGCTTTTGAACTGTGCACTGATAACAAGCTGAGCGGTCTTTAGCCTGGAGAACACAGTGTCCACGGTTTCCAAAAAGAATTTCAAATGTTGATTCGTCAGACGTCAGGCTCGGGCCCAGAGAAGGTGGCAGCGTTTCTGGTTCCTGTTTATATTTGGTTTCTTCTTTGCGTTTTAGAGCTTTAACTTGCATTTGTGGATGCAGTGATGAACTGTTTTCATAGACAGTGTTTTTCCAGAAGTGTTTCTGAGCCCATGCAGTGATTTCCACTACAGAATCATGTTTGTTTTTAATGCAGGGCCCAAAGATCACGACCAGCAAATAGCCAGGCTTTCCACTGGTTTTCAGCCTTTTCCTTACATACAGAGATTTCTCCAGAGTCTCTGAATCTTATAATGTTATTATGTACCGTAGATGATGAAAAGCAAAAGTTCTTTGCTATTTTATGTTGAGAAACGTTATTCTTGAATTGTTGCACTATTTGATGGTGCAGTCTTTCACAGAGTGGTTACTTCTGAAAGACTCAGCCTCTCTGAGATGCTCTTTACACCCAATCATGTTACTGACCTGTTGCCAATCAACCACCAGGTGTTTTTTTAGCATTACACAACTTTACCAGCCTTTTGTTGCCTCAGTCCCAACTTTTTTGGAACATGTTGTTGACATCAAATTCAAAATGGGCAAATATTTTTCAAAAAAACAATAAAATTTCTCAGTTTCAACATCTGATATGTTGTCTTTGAAGAATTTCAATTTCAACTTTTTGATTTCTTCTAAAGTCAAAAGATTAAGATTTATCAAGAGTTCATGTTTTAAATAAATACATTTTATTTTAAAATGCTGTACCACGTTTTCATGTCACTATTGAAACACAAAGAGTTTAAGGTTTGTAGGTGGAGCTTTATTTTTGTCACACCCCTGCATTTTAGAGCAGGAAGTGAGGCTGCATCCCTGTCCCTCATGGCCACATGGTGAGCAGTTAGATCCCATTGTTTTGAAGTAAATGTGTCCCAAAGGAACATTAAGAATTGTCATATTTTCTGCAGTTCAGAACTTTTTAGTGTTTTAATGTAAAACATGATGATTTTCTGTGTGAACAGCTGTTCAAAGCTGTGTTTGCTGGTCATGAACTGGCTGAGATTTTGAGCTCAAAATGAGCTAAAATTGTAACCGAAACCGAAAAGTCACTACTGAAACAGTCACTACTGAAACATTTGGTGAAGTTTCGGTAGAGTGTGGTAGAGATTGTTTTGGTAAAGACAAAATGGAATGATCAGTCATTAGTTTTAATAAAACTGATATAATTAAGGTATAGAGTCACTTAAAGCAAAGAGATTTTAGTTAAAAGTCCTAAAAAAATGTGTTTTCAGCTCTGACTTTGAACCAATTCAATTAAATGGTCCATATAACGACTTCAGTTTTGACTCTTTTCTCCAGTTCTGTTCAACTCTAAAATCCACACCCCAATCAAACATCCTAGAGATTCTTCGGTAGCTATTGTGTCCACCGGATTTTAAATTAAACCCACAAGCAGAATCGGCTAAAGGTGTCAGCAAATGCTACACAAGAGGTAGCAAACAGAAACTATGACTATTAAGTAAGTAATTTATTCTAACAGCACTGACATCAGTTAATGTTAATGAGGTTTTTGCAAAGCAGCCTTAAAATGACCCGACCACGTCATCTTAAATAGCTCATATATATACAAATTAGGGCTGCCAAATCACCTTTAATCAAATTTATCTTTTATCACATTTATTTGCGCAGATTTAAATATTGTTTGTTTCCATTTAAAAGCAGTGCACTGTGTTATAGCTAGACGAGTGAATTCTTGCTACAGTGGAGGATCATGAGTGGAACTGGAGCTCCACCAAGCTGCTACTTTTATTAGTTAGCTGCTCATTGGTTTATCCATAGTTCCCCCACAACTGCTGTCCAGCACAGTCTGCTGAAGGTGCTGAAGGTTTCACTTTAAAAGACGCTTAAAAGCTGGACTTAAGAACTACAATCACGGATTCTATCAGAGCGACATACAGCGCTGCACCTGGACTTCAGCCTGCAGTACTGTGGACGAGTCGAAGGGTTAAAGTAGGAAAATTAGTTGACTTTAGAAATAAGTGTTGTAATAATTTATCACATTAATACATTATTAACACATTAACTTTAAAGGTCTAATTCAAAGATCAGGCCTACAAATTGCAAAAAAAGGTTAAATGTTTATAATCAGTTCTTACTCGAAGGGTTCGCTGGGGTCGTCCTTCTGCAGCTCCGAAGGAATGGGGATGCGTTTGTAATACATCTCCCAGTCAAACGCTCCTCGCATCGCATCGCCAGCCTGCGTCTCATAGCCAAAATTATCATGATCAATCACATCGATCATCGGACACACGATCGATTTTCGGTTCTGGGCGATGCGATCTAAATGAGACAAAAGCGTAAAATGAAGAAGCATAAAATGACAAAAGAAAAAAATACCTACAAAAAAAAACATCCGTTAGATACACTGCCTGTCGAAGGCTTCTCAGAATGTTTTTAATCTAAAGGATCGTGTTTTCTTTGTTGGTGTAATATCTGACCATATTAAAGCCTAATCAGGTTTATTTAGAGGAAACAATATCACAATGGTAATATGCCAATGTTACTGCCAGTGCTACTTTTGAGTATAAAGCCAAAGGCCACGCCCACTGTATCCCCTTGTTGTGATGTCAGTTGTTTAAACCACATTTGGACCGGTTTAGTTCCATTAGATTAGTGTGGAAAAGAAAATTGTCAAATTATTATTTAGATAAAAGCTGCTCTTCATATCAAGATGACACTTTGATGAACATGAAGTCCTGAAGATAAATTTACACAAAGCATCAGAACAGAGCTGATTTATGATAAACTAAACCTTTTATTACTCAATTGAAAAGTAACAGTGAAGATAAATCTTTACAAAACAAAGGAAAGTGCGCTCAAACTTTTGATGGGCAGTGTAAACATTAGTTACATGACAAGAAAAGTTCCTGAATAATTCATAGTAAATGTTACTGAATAGTCTATACTGAATATTTGACAGTTGCTAAATAATTCATAGTAGATACTGATTATTTGATAGTAGATACTGAATAATTCATAGTAGATACTGAACAATTCATGGTGGATACCGAATAATTCATAGCAGATACCGAATAATTCATAGCAGATACCGAATAATAATTCATAGTAGATGCTGAATAATTCATAGTAGATACTGAATAGCTTATTTCAGTTACTGAATAACTGATAGTAGTTTTAGGTCTAAAGGTTAATAACTGAATAATAAGCCTTCAGTTTAAATATTAAGTCTCTACACATTAAAAACATGTAAACATTTGTAAACATGTTGACTAAAGCGGATCTTACCCAGTAGTGGCGGGAGCCAGTTGACGTTAGCCTCGCAGTGCGAGTCCAGGAAGGTGATGACCTCTCCTTTAGCAGCGGCGGCGCCCAGCAGCCTCGTCCGGATCAATCCCTCACGCTTCTTAGTGCGCAGGATCCGAACCTTTGGCATGCGGACCATGTAATCCTCCAGAGAGGCCTTCAGGTGCTCTGATGGAGGGCAGAGGGGGCGGAGCTTAATTTACACACAGACTTAAAGTGTAAGATTATTTACATTTTCACACTTTTGACTGCAGTCAAAACTTGGAGATCTGTATAAAAACCAAAAATAGTTTCAAATATAGTATAATATACTATACTATAATATACTATTCTCCTGGACAGTTACAGACTGTAGTCCATCTGTTTCTCTGATACTTTGTTAGCCCCCTTTTACCCTGTTCTTCAGTGGTCAGGACCCCCATGGACCCTCACAGAGCAGGTGCTATTTGGGTGGTGGATCATTCTCAGCACTGCAGTAACACTGACGTGGTGGTGGTGTGTTAGTGTGTGTTGTGCTGGTACGAGTGGATCAGACACAGCAGTGCTGCTGGAGTTTTTACAACACCTCAGTGTCGCTCCCTCTACAGGGAGCACCAACAACGCAGGTGCGTCTAATAGAGTGGACAGTGAGTGGACACATTGTTTAAAAACTCCAGCAGGACTGTTGTGTCTGATCCACTCAGACCAGCACAACACACACTAACACACCACCACCACACCAGTGTTACTGCAGTACTGAGAATGATCCACCACCCAAATAGTACCTGCTCTGTGAGGGTCCATGGGGGTCCTGACCACTGAAGAACAGGGTAAAAGGGGGCTAACAAAGTATCAGAGAAACAGATGGACTACAGTCTGTAACTGTAGAACTACAAAGTGCACCTATATAGTAAGTGGAGCTGATAAAATGGACAATGAGCATAGAAACAAGGAGGCGGTCAGAATGTTATGCCTGATCGGTGTATGTTAAATATTCACAGTCTAACTGCCATTCAGATACTATTATTCTAAACTATTTTTTAGTTTTGTTCATGCATTCATAGATCAATATCTATATTGTTTAGTATGTTTTTCCCCAAATTTTGTCCCCAATTTAGACGTATCGAATTCCACTTACAAGCTAGGACTCACAATCGCACCATACCACCAGTGCTAGGGGAGTGAAAGCTAGCACAGGCTTCCTCTGAGACCTGCCAACTGCCGATATCGCAACGTCACTGGACAGCAGAACGAGCTCGGAAGGAAGCACCAACCACCAGTTCCGTTACATCAGCTAACAGACGCCTGCTCTGGCTAGTATCGCGCTGAGTGTTGGTGGGAGACTGGGGGGGGGTGGGGGGGCATCCTACCCACCCAGAGTGAGGACAATTGTGCAACTGTGGTATGTTGTGTCCAAACACAGAGAAAATACCCCAGACATATTAATGTATTTAGCAAAATACATTAATATGTCTGACTGTTTCACACTGCAGGACTCGTGACTGTTTTGAGTCGTAAATATCAAACATGTCTAATAATATCTGAGGGTTTCTGATCACTTCAAAGTTTGATCAGAGAGCTAAAGATTCACTCGTTTTTCCTCTCACACTACAGATCATCCACACCAGCGGTCAGTCACTTCCGAGAGCCCGGCCTGGAAAATCGCTTCAGATTGTGAAAATTTGTCGCAAGGGGCAAATCGGGGTTAAAATCGATTTGGGCAGCTTGGATTTGACATTTCATTAAACACTATATAATTCAATCTGTGTTATTATATAGTTTTAATGTCCTCACTGTTACTGTAAATGTGTAAAACAGCAAAAATAATGAAAGTTGATGAAGGAAAATGTGTCCCGTTTCTACAATGGTTCATTTTTTTCCTGAATCTAATCCAGCTTCGTGGAATGGGAGGTGATTAATCAGAGTAATGAACGGCGCTCTGCTTCACAAACTCATTAATCTTTATTTAAAATTAGACAGAGGGGCTGACAGCGTCGCCCTGTGACACAAATTAAGTTGTAACGTTCCCCCAGTCCAACATTTCCGCCTGATGAGACTCATTTTCTTTGCTACATCCATGTTTTCCCTTTCATAACAAGAGTCTCTGGCACTCAGCAAGTCATCACTGTAAATAAACACTGTTCTTAATGGCTAAATTAAAGATAATATGAATAAATCACCAGTAAACATTGGAAATAAAGAGAAAAAGAAAAGAAATAATGAGATCAGACACCTCAGAGTCGCTGCTGGACTGTGAACCAAAAATATCCAGCCAACAGCGTCCTGTGGGCAGCGTCCTGTGACCACTGATGAAGGACTAGAGGATGACCAACACAAACTGTGCAGCAGCAGATGAGCTATCGTCTCTGACTTTACATCTACAAGGTGGACTGACAAGGTAGGAGTGTCTAATAGAGTGGACAGTGAGTGGACACAGTGTTTAAAAACTCCAGCAGCACTGCTGTGTCTGATCCACTCAGACCAGCACAACACACACTAACACACCACCACCACGTCAGTGTTACTGCAGTGCTGAGAATGATCCACCACCCAAATAATAACTGTTCTGCGGGGGTCCATGGGGCTCCTGACCACTGAAGAACAGGGTAACAAAGTATCAGAGAAACAGATGGACTGCAGTCTGTAACTGTAGAACTACAGAGTGAAACTATACGGTCAGTGGAGCTGATTGAATGCTGTATTGAATGTATTCAATAGAGTAAATAATCACTTCATTCGTTTCTTAAACAGTTGTGAGGTCACAGATTTATCGCCGCCGTAACTCGGAGTGTCAGTTCCAGTTGGTTCTTTAATCGCTATACTGAGCGTTTCTGACACGAACCTGAAAATAAAGCTGCTCTGACACCTCGACACTTTACACCCCGACTCTCAGAGAAGGCAGCGCAGCGCTGGCAGCAAATCGGTTGCTAGGAAACAATCACACAGCGGCTTCCTGCACATCTGCCCTCAAACCTACAGGCTAACGGGCTAAACGCTAATCTGACACCTGTTCCTCCTGATAGCCTCACAGGGACAACGCTACTGCAGGATGACTGCACTCGGCCCATTTTCTAAAAATAAAAAATAAAATAAAATAAAAATAAATAAATAAAAAAAAAATGAATGATGTCGGGGCTCTGAGAAAATTCTCTAAAAACAACACTTCAGGGAGTGTGTGCTCAGACATTTGCTAAAACCATACACATTAAATAAATAAATAAATAAATGCATGAATAAATGACAGTTTTTTCCTCAAATTTATTCTATAAATATATAAAATATAAAATAAAGAAAATCAATTAATAACCTCTGTGCAGATTTAATTTTCTAAAATATTCCAAAAAAAAAACTAAAATAAAAAATATGTAAAGTAAAATAATAAACTATGTGCACGGTTAATTTTCTTAAAATATTCTAACAACTATAAAATAAAAAATAAAATAAAATAAAATAATAACCTCTTCATTTTAATATATTCTATAAAAGAAATAAATTAAAAAAATAAATAAATAATAACCTTTGTGAACTGAGTTAATGTTTAAAAAATAAACTATAAAAATCAACACAAAACTAAACAAAAATAAAATAAAAAATAAACGTCTCTCTGCTCAGAGTTCTCCCAAAAATAATGCTGGTGAATTTTTGGAGAAAGGTGGGAGCGGAACATTCCTGTAGGAGTGTGAGGGCCGTGGAGGATCACAGCGCAGTGGTGCGTTTCAGTGTGTAGGAGATAATCTACTGAACACACACACACACCATCTGCGCCTGATAACACAAAATCGAGTGTATTCACTCCTGAAACCTCCAGCAGCCCAAGACTAACCTCAGAACTGCTCAGAGCACAATATGTGTAAAAGTCAGAGACCCCCTTCATTTATTTATTAGCAATTAAGTACAATTTACTGATTATTCAGGAGATATTTGTAAAGAGATTAGATATAAGACAATTCACTTACATAATAAAGGAGGAAGTCAAAGGAAAATAAGTGACAAGAGTTTCTAAAACTGGAGCTGAAAAAATGATTAAAAGCTAGAGAGAAAATGGAGCGCCTAACAACCACCTGGAAGACCTGGTAGACCACCAACACTGATGAGAGAAGAGAAAATCAAACTCCATTCTTGCTTCAGACGTCTGGTTCCTATCAACACCACTGTGAGCAATTCTGACTCAGTAAGTTTCTCTAGAACGAAGCGTTTCACACCAAACCACTCTGAACCACTCTGTTTACATCTTATTGATGGAATTCTGAAAAACTGGTGGAATTCCCCTTTAAAGCCAGAGTGGGAAAGTGAATGTATATCAGAAGTAGGTAGTAACTACTTTGTGCACATGAACTTTAGGAAAAAACTGACAGGTCAGCTCTCTTCTGTGAAATCGTAATGCTTTTACTTCTATTCAAGTATATCAGTGAATTTACTCAGTTACATTTTAGCCATTCATATTTAGATATTATTTACTTTTTATGTCTTATTTAATTCCGTTTTCCATCTGTACTGCTCTGTGATTGGTCATGTCTGACTCTGGAGCTTTATCATTTTATTTCATCATCATCATCATCATCATCATCATCACTTTTATTTATATAGCGCCTTTCCCATGCTCAAGGACGCTTTACAATCGATACATAATCACAATACATAACACAGAACACACACACACACACGCACGCACGCACGCACGCACGCACGCACGCACGCACGCACACACACACACACACACACACACACACACACACACACACACACTCTCTCCCTCCACGGTTCCCACGGCTAGCGGAAGAAATTTCAGTGACCACAGCACAGAGTCACTCAGCTAGCTAGCCTGGAAAGAGTCGTTAGCGGCGGGGAAAAGTCTCACGCTGCAACTACGGTGCATCACGCATGAGGCCGGCCTGGGAAGCCTCGAAGACTGAAGATGTCCTTCGCCACAAAGGGGGAGCATTTTCCTGCAGCCGAACACCACCAGTCCAGGCAGCCGCACAGCTGCAATGCAGCGTTACCCAAGCGGCCGGCCCGAGAGGCTTTGTGGCTGCAGCGTCCATCTTTAAAGAACTTTAAAAGAACTTGACAGGAGTGGCGTTTCATGACACAGCGGTAAGGCCGGGAACAGCGGTGCTGTGACACAAACAGGAAATCCGAAATCCAGCAGACTGTCTCATTTCGGTTCAGCCTTTGAGGGACTAAGCAGC